CACATTTTGTTAGGTTACAGCCTTATTCTAAAATCGATTAAATACATGTTTTCCCTCATCAATCTACACACAATACCCCATAATGCAAAGCAAAAACAGGTTGTTTGAAATGTTTGCTAATTTATTAAAAATTAAAAACAGAAATACCTTATTTACATAAGTATTCAGACCCTTTGCTATGAGACTTCCCCCCTGGGGAAGGGTACAAAAACATTTCTGCAGCATTAAAGGTCAACAAGAACACAGTGGCCTCCATCATTCTTAAATGGAAGAAGTTTGGAACCACCAAGACTCTTCCTAGAGCTGGCCGCCCGGCCAAACTGAGCAATCAGGGGAGAAGGGCCTTGGTCAGGGAGGTGACCAAGAACCCGATGGTCACTCTGACAGAGCTCTAGAGTTCCTCTGTGGAGATGGGAGAACCTTCCAGAAGGACAACCATCTCTGCAGCACTCCACCAATCAGGCCTTTATGGTAGAGTGGCCAGACAGAAGCCACTCTTCAATAAAAGGCACACGACAGCCCGCTTGGAGTTTGCCAAAAGGCACCTAAAGACTCTCAGACCATGACAAACAAGATTCTTTGGTCTGATGAAACCAAGATTGAACTCTTTGGCCTGAATGCCAAGCGTCACGTCTGGAGGAAACCTGGCACCATCCCTACGGTGAAGCATGATGGTGGCAGCATCATGCTCTTGGGATGTTTTTCAGCGGCAGGGACTGGGAGAGTAGTCAGGATCGAGGAAAAGATTAATGGAGCAAAGTACAGAGAGATCCTTGATGAAAACCTGCTCCAGAGCGCTCAGGACTTTAGACTGGGGCGAAGGTTCACCTTCCAACAAGACAATGGCCCTAAGCACACAGCCAAGACAATGCAGGAGTGGCTTCGGGACAAGTCTCTGAATGTCCTTGAGTTACCCAGCCAGAGCCCGGACTTAAACCTGATCGAACATCTCTGGAGAGACCTGAAAATAGCTGTGCAGCAATGCCCCCCATCCAACCTGACAGAGCTTGAGAGGATCAGCAGAGAAGAATGGGAGAAACTCCCCAAATACAGGTGTGCCAAGCTTGTAGCGTCATACCCAAGAAGACTGTAATTGCTGCTAAAGGTGCTTCAACAAAGTACTGAGTAAAGGGTCTGAATACTTATGTGAATGTGATATTTCAGTTTGGTATTTTTTATAAATTAGCTATAAAATGTTTTTTTTTTAAACTGGTTTTGCTTTGTCATTATGGAGTATTGTGTGTAGATTGATGAGGGAAAAAATCAATTTGATCAATTTTAGAATAAGGCTGTAACGTAACAAAATGTAGAAAAGGTCAAGGGGTCTGAATACTTTCCGAAGGCACAGTTTAAAATCTTACATGACATTACATTTCATAACACTTTACCCAATACATTTAGTGTGTTTAAGATCATTGAAGATAAATCGCAATCAGTAAAAAAATTATCAAGCTAGTTAACTAGCAGATTTACATCAATCAACATCAATGATCAGCTGATAGCCTATCCTCTTTTCCCGATGTCAAAAATGTGCCTTTTTTTATTTTGAGCACCTGCCCCCTGAAAGGTCTGTGCACGGCCCTACATGACATTCTACAACGATGTTTGTCATCTCAATTATATGTCAACCACAACGTGATGACAACAGACATGGCCCTGCCTTCAGGCTGTATTCGCAACTACCTTTTTCTCCTGGGCAGTGTTATGTGGCATTGTGTCATCCTCTGTAACTGCTGAGCCTGTTACTTTTGTGTTCCTAATATCTTCCATCACTGCTTGAGCAGTGGAGTCTACAGAAACACATTCCAAGTCAGGAGAGCACTGCACCTAATATCTATTAATGATCGAGATGGGGATTGATGTCTGGTGGTGGTTTGGGGTTTGGTGCTAGGTATATTCACATACAGGACACACAGTTAAACAACTTCTTATCAATGCCGTCATGTCTTTTGCAAGCACTGGTCATAAGAGCTTTTGACCTAAATTGGCACTTCCAGTTTGAAAATATATATATATATACAGTATATAAATCCAGTGCTGTAGCAAAGGTATTTCTTAAGTGGGGCAGGAAGTATGCTGGTGGGAAACTATAACTCCTCAGAAAGTCTGCCGTGGTCTTGTCTTCAGCTCCTCTCTCTGCCCACCTGTGTGGTGCTACAGCCCTCTCTCCAGATACAGTCATGTTCCAGAGAGAACCTCAAGATAACACAACGCAGCCCACGAAGGTCACAGCACAGAGGGAGACTGTAGACTCACCCACAGAGGAAACTTTGATACAGTTGTGGAAACTTTACAGTGTTTAACACAGACAAGAGGAATAGTTCAGTAAACCCACACACCACACTCAGTGATTCATAGCAAAAGTATAATTTATTTGGTTAGTGGCCCCCCAGATAGCATATCAAAACATCATAAGCAATGGCAAAATGTGTAGAATTGCAGGAAATGATCTTTAAAACTGCAACATTTTCTCTGAGCCACATGACAGAATGTGTAGAATAGCATTATAAAACTGCAAATGTTTTCAAAATCAGTGAGTGCCCACCCACTCGGCTGCCTACGTAGGTACTGTGCTGAGTGCTCCGCTGCCACTCCCCCTTCTTGTCTTTGCCTGGTCACGGGTGTAGACTACAAACTTTGTGTTGTATACAACACTGTTCGAACTATTGCATCCCCTCAGTACGATATTAAGCGTAAGCATGATTTCCTACGAACTTCATGTTGTACATAAAACTGTTCGAACTATTGCATCCCATGCCTCAGTAAGCATAAGCGCGATTTAATGTTATTTTCTTCAGGAGGGGAGTAGGCTACAGTACATGCCGCAAAATACATTATAGACATGTTTGTACAAACGTTGTCAGTATTGCAAACATAAGCACAACACAAAACTTCGTATCAGTAGCCACAGCCTACAGATATATATTTTTAATGAAAAAATATAAATAGTGAATCGAGGAATAAATACAGTGATTAACAATAACGAGTAAAAATAACATGGCTATATACAGGAAGTAGAAAATAACATGGCTATATACAGGAAGTAGAAAATAACATGGCTATATACAGGAAGTAGAAAATAACATGGCTATATACAGGAAGTAGAAAATAACATGGCTATATACAGGAAGTAGAAAATAACATGGCTCTATACAGGGAGTACCAGGTAATAACATGGCTATATACAGGGAGTACCAGGTAATAACATGGCTATATACAGGGAGTACCAGTACCAAGTCGATGTGCATGGGGTACGAGGTAATTGATGTAGCTACACTATATATACAAAACTATGTGGACACCAATTCAATTTAGTGGATTCGGCTATTTCAGCCACACCCATTGCTGACAGGTGTATAAAATCGAGCACACAGCCATGCAATCTCCATAGACAAACATTGGCAGTAGAATGGCCTTACTGAAGAGCTCAGTGACTTTCAACGTGGCACCGTCATAGGATGCTACCTTTCCAACAAGTCAGTTTGTCAAATTTCTGCCCTGATATGAGCTGCCCTGGTCCACTGTAAGTGCTGTTATTGTGAAGTGGAAATGTCTAGAAGAAACAACGGCTCTGCCGCGAAGTGGTAGGCCACAAATCAAATCAAATCAAATGTTATTTGTCACATACACGTGTTTAGCAGATGTTATTGCGGGTGTAGTGAAATTCTTGTGCTTCTAGCTCCGACAGTGCAGTAATATCTAACAAGTAATATCTAACAATTTCACAATATATACCCTATACACACAAATCTAGTAAGGAATGGAATTTAAGACTATATACATATATGGACAAGCAATGACAGAAGTTCACAGAACGGGACTGCCGGGTGCTTAAGCGTGTAGCGCATAAAACACATCTGTCCTCGGTTGCAACACTCACTACTGAGTTCCAAACTGCCTCTGGAAGCAATGTCAGCACAAGATCTAAGATCACCATGCGCAATGCCAAGCGTCGGCTGGAGTGGTGTAAAGCTTGCTGCCATTGGACTCCGGAGCAGTGGAAACGCGTTCTCTGGAGTGATGAATTACGCTTCAGTCCGACGGTCAAATCTGTGTTTGACAGATGCCAGGAGAACGCTTCCTGCCCGAATGCATAGTGCCAACTGTAAAGTTTGGTGGAGGAGGAATAATTGTCTGGGGCTGTTTTTCATGATTCGGGATAGGGCTCTTTGCTACAGTGAAGGGAAATATTAACGCTACAGTATACAATCACATTCTAGACGATTCTGTGCTTCCAACTTTGTGGCAACAGTTTTAAACAGTAACTCTCACTCATTAAAACAGCAACTCTCACTGAGCCGAAGAAGGAAGTTACCAAACAGTGATTGTTTTTTTTTGTGGGCGTTACCACAGACCACATTAGCTATTGTCAGAGACAACCAGCCAGAGACATCCAACCCATAAACCGTTTTAACTGGCCCAGATGTTCAGGGTAAAGCCATTTTGTGATGCTACACCATTCAAACACAGACATAGCCATCAAAGGTAGACTTTACTTGGTCTCCATAAGAAAGTGTGTTATTAATGTTAATCTAAAGCACATAGTCAACCTGTTCCGGAGCTGAAACGTCAAAGAAAGCAGTGAGAGAGAGGGCCACTTCTACAGTACGTACAGTACGTCATTCACTGGCACACCTGTGGGAAAAGTGTTTACTCTGTAACCTGACACATACAGTCGGAAACAATCAAGTGAAGAACTAGACATACAGTATCACTGACACACTGCCTTTCTTTTTATTGTCTATGATCAAGGTTAGGAGGTGACATGCTGTACCCAGGATGTACTGTAGGAAAGGTTATGTTTTGGTCTGTTTTATTAATTGTTATAAAAAAAATGACTTTTATTTAACTAGGTAAGTCATGAATTAATAACAATGCGTTTAAGATAGCAAACTGAACACAGCCACAGTAGAAATGGCAGCCTGGCTGCAATGATGATAGGGGATTTATGCATTTGGAGATTATTGTGTCAGAGGTCAGAGGTAACGTGCCTAAGAAACATGGTGGTAGCTAGTGGTTCCACGGGGACAGTCAGGGCACATGGGAATAGTGGTGACCTCCAGCTAGCACGGCCAGTAGAGCCAGTCTGCATGCCTGGGAACGGGGACACAGCAGACGTCAGTGGAGAGGATGAGAGGTTCAGAATGATGCGTACAGTCTGTGGACACTAGGTGTTTGAATAAAACAGCCAGTGAGAAAACGGTGGATGAAGGGGGAAGAGAAGGGAGGGTTGGGGACCCCTCAGTTAACTTCTCACACAGCAGGTGTGTCTCTATGAACTTCCTTTCCTTTGTCCATGGTTCTGAAAACACTTTATTTGAAACGTTGCTGAGGTCTTTAATACTTGAGTCTGGCTGTATGAGAACCCCAGGTTCTGTCAGGTTATGTTGTCATCGCAGAGGCCTGGGTTGGCAGATCAGTCACGGGTCAAGAGCCAATAATTTCATCCTGAGTGGCTTGGAGCCATAGCCATTGGCCGGGGCAGGCTAGGGAGAGGAGAGAGAGGGGAGAGGGCCTCACACAGGGAGACTGGAACACCACAACACCAAGCCAAGTGGAGAGAAAAGCCATAGGAAATGGTCTTCGTTGAGTTCAATCTGAATCTCAAGACCACCACCTTGGACAAACAGCGCCCTGAAAGCAGCCCAAGAACAAACAAGCAACTGTGTGAGTCACTCATGTAATCACAAGACTAGTCTAGGAGCAAGAAAATACAGAGTGGGAGGGAGTGAAAAGAAGAAAGGGAGAAGAAAGTGAAAGAGGGAGTTCTAGTTCATTAATACATCCAGTAAATATTGTTATGTGGTAGTTTGTAATATTGGTTTTGTCAAGGACAGAGACAGCATAGCAACAGACACAGTGTGTTGTGAGTTACCTAAGCTTTGGTCTGCATCAGTGATAGTTTTACACTCAATGTTTTTCCACATTCTGTTTTGGTGGTAGAGCAGGACAGAGACAGAGACAGAGACAGAGACAGAGACAGAGGGTTCTGTTTGGGTGGTAGACCAGGACAGAGACAGAGGGTTCTGTTTGGGTGGTAGAGCAGGACAGAGACAGAGGGTTCTGTTTGGGTGGTAGAGCAGAACAGAGACAGAGGGTTCTGTTTGGGTGGTAGACCAGGACAGAGACAGAGACAGAGACAGAGGGTTCTGTTTGGGTGGTAGAGCAGAACAGAGACAGAGGGTTCTGTTTGGGTGGTAGAGCAGGACAGAGACAGAGGGTTCTGTTTGGGTGGTAGAGCAGAACAGAGACAGAGGGTTCTGTTTGGGTGGTAGAGCAGAACAGAGACATAGGGTTCTGTTTGGGTGGTAGAGCAGAACAGAGACAGAGGGTTCTGTTTGGGTGGTAGAGCAGAACAGAGACAGAGACAGAGACAGGGACAGAGAGGAGGGGGGGAGAAAATGAGAGGGGTCTTTACTCTTTAATCGAAATGATAGTGAGAAAGTGGAAGGAAAGTGAAAGCTGTCAGAAAGGAAAAGTTGTCACCATAGCCAAGTGACATCCACCCCTTCTCTCTTATATGGAGGAAATGTAGTTGTGTGCTTGCCTCCCACACACACAATTAGGGCCCCCACAAAGAAAAACTCCACTCACACTAGTGACGTATGTGACATCACACATGGTCTACTTTCTATAATGCTCCTGTCAGAAGATATGTTTTCTGGCACTTGCTTTTCACGTTTCATTCTAACTCCTGCCTGCATGCTAAGTCTACACAGTAGGTCACTGTTGTCACTTATTCTATTAATAAACAAGACCTTCTGTGATATTTCACATTTCCGCTTTATTCCTAGAATCTTTTATCTTAACACATCATATAAAGGTATGTTGGTTGTGTGTCTATGATAAGCATAGGAAGAGACCCATCGTCCAATTATCTTTTGATTTGTACAAAGCCTACATTTGACTTGTATCAAGTATTTTATAAGCTTTCTCTCTCTCTCTCTCTCTCTCTATCTCTCTCTCTCTCACCCCTTGTAGTTTCTGTCGGATCGTATTCTGAAGGCAACAAGGGTGGTGTACAGTGCCTTGATAGAGCGTAACCCTGACCTGATCAGAGACAGAAAGCATCACCTAAAGACCTACAGGTATGTATTGGGCCTCCTATGTCAATGACTTCAATAACTATTGCTTTGTATAGTTCCCTTGTAGAGGTCTCACTCTCTCCTCCTTACAGACAATGTTGTTCGGGGAAAGATCTTGTTGATTGGCTGATGAAGCTAAACAAATGCCTCCAATCAAGGAGCCAGGCAGTTGGAATGTGGCAAGTCCTGGTGGACGAAGGAATCATTGTTCATGGTAAATGAGATTGCTTTAAGATGTGTATATACAGTAACTGCAATTATTTCATCAAAGTTCAAAATTGTTAATCAAGCCATAGCAGTTTTGTACGTTTTCTGATAGTTTGATGATAGTTATAGTCCTTGTTTTTAACAAGTCCTCACTTTCATTAGAGTGAGAGTATTATCATCATGTATTGTGAAATATGATCATTGAGAATCAACCACTCTCTGTGAGTGTAACAAAACTCAATGTCTTCTATCATCACAATGTAGTGAAGCAAGAGTTAAACTTCCATGACAAACACACTCAATTTTACCGCTTCCTGGATTCGGAGTTTGGACTGAACCACTTGACTAATGAGAAGGATGCACTGAATCACACAGCCAATGAGAATCTCTACCTGAAACACACAACCAATGAGAAGGACCAATCAGACGAAGAGCTGCAGGAGGGTTTGTTGTTATTACTCCAGATGGGTCCAGATGCTCTTCTGACCATGATTTTACGTAAATGGTGAGTTCCATTTTATTATACTGTGTGTCTGAATCAAGTTTGTTTTACCCTTGAAGTCAAGGGGACAATGAACTTGTATTCTATCCTATCCTATCATAACCCATCCTATTCTAAGTCATAGCCTGTGACAGTATTCTAACCTGCCCATATCCCTTCCACTCTGTAGCCCCAGTCAGCGAAGTGCTGAGGACCTGGAAGTGATCTATGAGGAGCTGCTTCATGTCAAGGCTGCTGCTCATCTCTCCACCTCCGTGAGTGACAGCATCCTGTTCTGTCCCTGGGCTGACTGAGTCCTAAATGGCACCCTCTTCCCTATGTAGTGCACTACTTTTGAATAAGGGCCATAGGGCTCTGGCCAAAAGTAGTGAACTCCATTTAATCTAGTCAGAAGATGTTCAGAACGTCCTGTAGAAATAAGAAACTGTGCTACACCATGGGCCGTATTCAAAGTCTCAAGGTAGGAGTACTGATACAGCATCAGTTTTGCCTCATAGATCATAATGAATAAGATTATGTGGACGGGGGGGATCTGATTCTAGATCAGTACTCCTACTCATCGACTCTTTGTGAATTAAATATGGGCCCAGTTCTTAGAAAGTGGATTGAGCCTCCTGTGGACTAGAAAACCTGCACATGATGAAAACCTGCACATGATCCACATTAAGTCTACTCCTGGGCTGCATAAGCAATGCTCAATGGAGTATCGAAAGTGATTGAAAATGGTTTTAAATCCAGGAATTGGTTTAATCTGGGTCCGAGAAGAGGATGTAACCCTACTGTATGTCCTGTAGAACTAAGGCTTTATGCTGCCCCTCCCACTGACCTCTCCCTGTTTAATCCTGTCTCATCCCCTTTCCTTCTTCCTGTAGGTGCGTAAGGAGTTGGCAGCAGTGCTGGTGTTTGAGTCCCATGCCAAAGCAGGCACAGTCTGTGAGTGTGATAGTCTGTAATAGTCTTCCCTGATGTTTATTTGAACTGTGGTGGGCCCACATCACTACCACAGTGCTACAGATACTCTGTCTCTGTTTCCATCCTCCCCCTCACTGCAGTATACAACCAACCTGTCCTTTAGGCAGAACTCATTATTCCTGCCACTGATGTAAAACCTACTGAAACCTACTGGAATATTTCAATATCTTTATCTTGGACAATCAGTCCATTAGATTGTCAGAGAAAGCTGTGTGTCGGCAGAGCTGACTGAAACGTCAACCTAAATGCCGTGTGTACCTTTGTGAACATGGACAAGAAGATACAGATCACCAGCATTTTGCCTCCCAGCCTTTCGTTTTTATTGGACTTAGTGCCCTTTGGGACATAATTACCTGTGAAGTTGATTGACTTAGATGCTGATGTGTGGGAAAGAGACTGGTGGGATTCATCCTGATTATGTGTATCTGTGTTTCTCAGTGTTCAGTCAGGGAGACAAAGGCACTTCCTGGTACATCATCTGGAAGGGCTCTGTCAATGTCATCACACATGGAAAGGTAAGGCCATTACCCCAGGTCTCTTATTTGTGTACGATTCTTTAGTATACACACTTTTGATGAATATTTGGATACTACATTTGAATTGTATTCACATTGTACTTACAGTGTGTGTGTGTGTGTGTGTGTGTGTGTGTGTGTGTGTGTGTGTGTGTGTGTGTGTGTGTGTGTGTGTGTGTGTGTGTGTGTGTGTGTGTGTGTGTGTGTGTGTGTGTGTGTGTGTGTGATGCAGGGTCTGGTGACGACGCTACATGAGGGAGAAGATTTTGGGCAGCTGGCCCTGGTGAACGATGCTCCCAGAGCAGCCACCATCATCCTGAGAGAGGACAACTGCCACTTCCTACGAGTCGACAAACAGGACTTCATACGCATCCTCAAGGTGGGTTTGGTTACAGCCTGATGTTGTGTACATACCGTATTCATACTGATGTGTACTGTCCTGTGTGTATTCACACAGTATGTGTGTAAGTAGATACAGTCTGTATGACTGTGTTTCAGGATGTGGAGGCTAACACCGTGCGTCTGGAGGAACATGGGAAAGCTGTGTTGGTGCTGGAGAAGGCTGAGTCGACCAATCAGGGAGGGACAGGAAACATCAGCAAGTGAGACACGCCCACCTCTCATACAACATACTGTATAACAACAATCAGTCAAACAAGCACTTACACATTCATCATTCAACCTAAATGAACACACTCATTCAAGGCGTTATTAGACCAATGTCATGTAAACCATTTTTTTTGCTGTAGAATGTAACACGTTTCAGTACCATTTTTGTGGACAGTGTTATTAATTGTGGCAGTTATCTGCTCGCCTATTGTTGATTCAACACAGAAATGGACTTCAACCCTGTTCAGTTGAATGGACTGCACTTTATCTCACCTCAAGTGTTTTAACAAACATTGGGTTTAATGAATGTGATGCTGGTGATGCTGACTGACTGCCTCTTTAGTGAAGTGTCTGCCTGTTGCTCTCTACACACCTACACACATACCTATACTCTCTTCCTCTTCCTGTCTTCCCTTTCTATATCTCTCTCTCTATCTATCTCCCTCTTCCACAAACACACAGGTATACAGTGATGTCTGGAACACCAGAGAAGATCCTAGAACACCTGCTTGAGACAGTGAAGTTGGATACTAATGGCAATGATGCTATAGGTATGATGCTATATGGCTTGCCTTAGTCCAAACATCTCTCTACTATAGTGGCTGGACCCCTCTATGTCGATTGACCACTGACATACTCCCACTGTTTTATGTTCAAAGAAAAGGAGTTCCTCTTTTAAGACACACTATAGTGAACAATCTGATGACCTCTGAATCCTCAGCCAAACTTTAAAGATAGTTTCTGGTTTCATGGGCACTGTTTGTTTGGGTCATTCACATGAAACAGCCAACAACGACAGAAAACAACAGGCAGAATCAGGCCAGTCACATTCCTGGCTATTTATTTTATGTCTGCTAAAAGCCAAAGTCAGATGACTCAAATTGTTTCTGTGTTTTTCGGGGAGGAAGCACGGGGACGGCGGGAGGGACACAGAATGCCATTAGGCCTTGTTAGTGTGTTATGTGTTGTTCTGTCTGTGTGCCCACAGATCCCTGTGTGAGCGACTTCCTACTGACCCACAGGGTCTTCATGCCCTCCAGCCAGCTCTGCCCGGCCCTGCAACAGCAATACCCTTTATGATGATTATGATGGTGGTGATGCTGATCGTGGTGGTGGTAGTGGTGGTGGAGGTGGGGGTGGTAGTGGAGGGGTGATGATGATGATGTTATAAGTTGTTGTGTTTATTTCTATTTACTATGCCTCAATTCAATCAGATCGAGTGTTAACCGGTGTTGGCAGACATCCGCATAGCAGATGTTTTGGTGGTGTTGGAGGTGTAACTGCGGTACGGGCTGACCAATAGGTGAGCGGCTGCTCTTGTGTGTCACAAACCACACCCTTCCTTATTATCCCTACCGCGTCAGAAGTTCAAAACGGCAACAGAAAGTGTAGGCTAATGCATGTTTTCATGTTCATTTGGATAGGGGGGATTTATAGCTTCTCAGTCTAATCGAGGTGTAGAAAATAGAATATCACTCAAGTGCTTGAACTTGTAACGTGGATGACTGAACTTCTAACATGGCTGCATGGGATCTGTCAGATTATAAAATCGGTGGTTTCGTTGCATCCAATGGCAGTGTCCGCGATAAGATAACGCAAGGAGCCGCTTATGGATTTCAAATCAAATTTTATTTGTCACGTCCCGAATACAAAAGGTGTAGACCTTACCGTGAAATGCTTACTTATGAGCCCTTAACCAAACAATGCAGTTCAAGAAATAGAGTTTTTTATCAAATCAAAAAGTAACACAATAAAATTACATAACAATAAGGAGGCTATATACAGGGGATACCGGCACCGAGTCAATGTGCGGGGGCACAGGTTAGTCAAGGCAATCCATAAAGTCACTATGCATAGATAATAAACAGCGAGTAGCAGCAGTGTAAAAACAAAGGGGGGGCGGGGTCAATTTAAATAGTCCCGGTGGTCATTTGATTAATTGTTCAGCAGTCTTATGGCTTGGGGGTAGAAGCATTTTTTATTTTTTATTTTTTAAGCCTTTTGATCCTAGACTTGGCGCTCCGGTACTGCTTGCCGTATGGTAGCAGAGAGAACAGTCTATGACTTGGGTGACTGGAGTCTTTGACAAGGATTTGACAGCTCTAACGCGGTTCCACCGAAATCTGATAGAATCTAGCCCTTACATTTTGTCTCTATAAAGGGAAAGCCAGACACATCGCGGACACCGACGCCTCGCTTCTGGACGAGCTAAACACCTTCTTCGCACACTTCGAGGAAAACACAGAGCCGCCAACATGGGCCACCGCCGCTCATGAGGACTGTGAGCTCTCGTTCTCCATGGCCGGCTTGAGTAAGACATTTAAGCATGTTAACCCTCGCAAGGCTGCCGGCCCAGACGGCATCCCAAGCCGTGTCCTCAGAGCATGTGCAGACTAGCTGGCTGGAGTGTTTACCGACATACTCAATCTCTCCCTATCCCAGTCTGTTGTCTCAACTTGCTTCAAGATGTCCACCATTGTTCCTGTAGCCAAGAAAGTGAAGGTAACTGAACTAAATGGCTATCGCCCCGTAGCAGTCACTTCTGTCATCATAAAGTGCTTTGAGGGGCTAGTTAAGGATTATATCACCTCCACCTTACCCAACACATTAGAACCACTACAATTTGCATACCGCCCCAATAGATCCACGGATGACGCAATCGCCATCGCAATGCACACTGCCCTATCCCATCTGGACAAGAGGAATACCTATGTAAGAATGCTGTTCATTGACTACAGCTCAACCTTCAACACCATAGTGCCCTCCAAGCCCTGGGTCTGAACCCCGACCTGTGCAACTGGGTCCTGGACTTCCTGACAGGCTGACCCCAGGCAGCAACACCTCCACCACGCTGATCCTCAACACGGGGGCCCCACAAGGGTGCGTGCTCAGCCCACTCCTGTACTCCCTGTTTACCCATGACTGCATGGCCATGCACGTCTCCAACTCAATCATCAAGTTTGCTGACGACACAACAGTAGTAGGCCTGATTAAAAACAATGACGAGACAGCCATGGCGGAGTGGTGCCAGGAAAATAACCTCTCCTTCAACGTCAACAAAATGAAGGAGACAGCAGAGAGAGCATGCCCCCATCCACATCGACGGGGCTGCAGTGGAGAGGATGAAAAGCTTCACGTTCCTTGGCGTGCAAATCACTGACAACCTGAAATGGTCCATCCACACAGACAGTGTGGTGAAGAAGGCGCAACAGTGCCTCTTCAACAGGAGGCTGAAGAAATTTGGCTTGGCCCCTAAGACCCTCACAAACTTCTACAGATGCACCATTGATCACATCCTGTAGAGCTGTATCACCGCCTGGTACGGCAATTGCACTGTTCGCAACCTCAGGGCTCTCCAGAGGGTGGTGCAGTCAGCCCAAAGCATCACCGGGGGTACACTGCCTGCCCTCCAGGACATCTACAGCACCCGGTGTCACAGGAAAGCCAAGAAGATCATCAAGGACCTCAGCCACCCAAGCCACGGCCTGTTCACCCCGCTACCATCAAGAAGGCGGAGACAGTACAGGTGCATCAAAGCTGGGACCGAGAGACTGACAAAAAGCTTCTATCTCCAGCTCCTATCAGACTGTTAAATAGTCACCACTAGCAGGCCTCCGCCCAGTGCCCTGCCCTGAACTTAGTCACTGTTACTAGCCGGCTACCACCCGGTACTCTACCCTGCACATTAGAGACTGCTGCCCAATGTACATAGTCATTGAACACTGGTCATACAGTGCATTCGGAAAATATTCAGAACCCTTGACTTTTTCCACATTTTGTTACGTTACAGCCTTATTCTAAAATGGATAAAAAATCATAATTCTACACACAATACCCCATAATAAAAAATGCAAATATCACATTTACATAAGTATTCAGACCCTTTACTCAGTACTTTGTTGAAGCACCTTTGGCAGCGATTACAGCCTTGAGTCTTCTTGGGTATGACGCTACAAGCTTGGCACACATGTATTTGGGGAGTTTCTCCCATTCTTCTCTGCAGATCCTCTCAAGCTCTGTCAGGTTGGATGGGGAGCGTTGCTGCACAGCTATTTTCAGTTCTCTCCAGAGATTTTTCGATCGGGTTCAAGTCCGGGCTCTGGCTGGGCCACTCAAGGACATTCAGAGACTTGTCCCGAAGCCACTCCAGCGTTGTCTTGGCTGTGTGCTTAGGGTCATTGTCCTGTTGGAAGGTGAACCTTAGCCCCAGTCTGAGGTCCTGAGCGCTCTGGAGCAGGTTTTCATCAAGGATCTCTCTATACTTTCCTCCATTCATCTTTCCCTCGATCCTGACTTGTCTCCCAGTCCCTGCCGCTGAAAAACATCCCCACAGCATGATGCTGCAATCACCATGCTTCCCGTAGGGATGGTGCCAGGTTTCCTCCAGACGTGACGCTTGGCATTCAGGCCAAAGAGTTCAATCTTGGTTTCATCAGACCAGAGAATCTTGTTTCTCATGGTCTGAGAGTCTTTAGGAGCCTTTTGGCAAACTCCAAGCGGGCTGTCGTATTCCTTTTACTGAGGAGTGGTTTCCGTCTGGCCACTTTACCATAAAGGCCTGATTGGTGGAGTGCTGCAGAGATGGTTGTCCTTCTGGAAGGTTAACCCATCTCCACAGAGGAACTCTGGAGCTATGTCAGAGTGACCATTGGGTTCTTGCTCACCTCCCTGACCAAGGCCCTTCTCCCCCGATTGCTCAGTTTGGCCGGGCGGCCAGCTCTAGGAAGAGTCTTGGTGGTTCCAAACTTCTTCCATTTAAGAATGATGGAGGCAACTGTGTTCTTGTTGACCTTCAATGCTGCAAAAATGTTTTGGTACACTTCCCCAGATCTGTGCCTCGACAGAATCCTGTCTCGGAGCTCTACGGACAATTCCTTCGACCTCATGGCTTGGTTTTTGCTCTGACATGCACTGTCAACTGTATAACCTTATATAGACAGGTGTGTGCTTTCCAAGTCATGTCCAATCAATTGAATTTACCACAGGTGGACTCCAATCAAACATTTCAAGGATTATCAATGAAAACAGGATGCACCTGAGCTCAATTTCGAGTCTCATAGTAATGGGTCTTATGTAAATACTTATGTAAATACGTTTTTTCTGTTTTTTATTTATAATACATTTGCAAACATAAAAAAAAACAGTTTTCACTTTGTCGTTATGGGGTATTGTGTGTACATTGATGAGGATTTTAATTTTTTTAATCAATTTCAGAATAAGGCTGTAACGTAACAAAATGTGGAAAAAGTCAAGGGGTCTGAATACTTTCCGAATGTGCTGTATATTCCGGTATCTGACATTGCTTGTGCTGATATTTTTTGGATTTGTGTGTGTCACTAGGAACCGATGTGGAAGTGGTGGAGGAGTCAGGCGCAGGACACAGAGGTTAAGTCCAACAGACTTTAATAGTCGAACGAACAAGAGAAAAACCCGACCTCGAAAATAAACCAAGAGGCGAGGGAAAATTACGCAACACGCGTAACACTAAGCACAAAACAACAAGAGAGTGCAGACACGTAGCTCCGAACAAAGTGGCAGCAAAAACAACACACAATAAGACTAGTGCAAAACACGGAACTTATAAGACAAGTAATCAACACACAAATGGACACAGGTGTAACAGACAGACAAAAGCAATCAAACACCGAAACATAGAGCGGTGGCAGCTAGTACTCCGGGGACGGCGAACGCCGAAGCCTGCCCGAACCAGGAGGAGGAGCAGTCTCGGCAGAATCCGTGACAGTACCCCCCCCCCCTTGACGCGCGGCTCCAGCCGTGCGCCGACCCCGGCCTCGGGGACGGCCAGGAGGACGCGGACCCGGGCGCGTGGGATGCCCACGGTGGAACTCAGTCAGGAGGGATGGATCGAGTATGTCCCTCCTGGGCACCCAGCACCGTTCCTCCGGACCGTACCCCTCCCACTCCACGAGATACTGGAGACCACTCATCCGGCGCCTCGAGTCCAAGATGGTCCGGACCCTGTACGCCGGGGCCCCCTCGATGTCCAAAGGGGGCGGAGGGGTCTCCTCTATCTCATCTTCTTGGAGTGGGCCAGCTACCACCGGCCTGAGAAGAGACACATGGAACGAGGGGTTAATATTTTTATACTCTATAGGCAGTTGTAACCTGTAACACACCTCGTTCAATCTTCTCAGGACTTTGAAGGGCCCCACAAACCGCCGACCCAGCTTCCGGCAGGGCAGGCGGAGGGGCAGGTTTCGAGTCGAGAGCCAGACTCGATCTCCCGGTGCGTACACCGGTCCCTCACTGCGGTGGCGATCGGCGCTCGCCTTTTGTTGACGGATGGCACGCTGCAGATGGACATGGGCAGCGTCCCACGTCTCCTCCGAGCGCCGAATCCACTCGTCCACCGCAGGGGCCTCGATCTGGCTCTCGTGCCAAGGTGCCAGGACCGGCTGATAACCTAAAACACACTGGAAAGGTGTTAAATTGGTGGAGGAGTGGCGGAGAGAGTTCTGGGCCATCTCTGCCCAGGGGATGAACCTAGACCACTCCTCCGGCCGGTCCCGGCAATAGGACCTCAAAAACCTACCCACATCCTGGTTGACACGTTCCACCTGCCCATTGCTCTCTGGGTGGTACCCCGAGGTAAGGCTTACCGAGACCCCCAACCGTTCCATGAACGCCCCCCAAACTCTGGAGGTGAACTGGGGACCTCGGTCAGACACAATATCCTCGGGGACCCCATAGTGCCGGAACACATGGGTAAATAGGGCCTCAGCGGTTTGTAGGGCAGTAGGGAGACCCGGCATGGGAAGGAGACGACAGGCCTTAGAAAACCGATCCACAACGACCAAAATGGTGGTATTCCCCTGGGAGGGGGGTAGGTCGGTTACGAAATCCACCGATAGGTGGGACCATGGTCGTTGTGGAACGGGCAGGGGATGTAGCTTACCCCTGGGCAAATGTCTAGGCGCCTTACACTGGGCACACACCGAGCAGGAGGAGACATAAACCCTCACATCCCTAGCTAACGTTGGCCACCAGTATTTCATGCTAAGACAGTGCACGGTCCGGCCAATACCTGGATGTCCAGAGGAGGGTGATGTATGAGCCCAATAAATAAGACGATCCCGAACCTCGAGCGGAACGTACGTCCGCCCCACAGGACACTCGGGGGGAGTAGGGTCGGTACGCAGTGCCCGCTCGATTTCCGCATCGACCTCCCATACCACCGGAGCCACCAAACAAGACTCCGGCAATATGGAAGTAGGCTCGTTGGACCTCTCCTCCGTGTCATACCGCCGGGACAGGGCGTCTGCCTTACCATTCTGGGACCCTGGGATGTATGTGATCTTAAAAACAAACCGGGTTAGGAACATGTTCCACCTAGCCTGACGAGGGTTCAATCTCCTAGCTGCCCGGATGTACTCCAGGTTACGGTGATCAGTCAGAATGAGGAAAGGGTGTTGTGCCCCCTCAAGCCAATGCCTCCACACCTTTAGGGCCTGGACTACGGCTAACAGCTCCCTGTCCCCAACGTCATAGTTGCGCTCCGCCGAGCTGAGCTTCTTGGAGTAGAACGCACAGGGGCGGAGTTTAGGTGGCGTGCCGGACCGTTGTGACAGGACTGCCCCAATACCGGTCTCGGACGCGTCTACCTCTACTTGGAATGGTAAAGAGGGATCCGGATGCGCCAGTACCGGAGCCGAGGTGAACAGGTTCTTCAGTTTAACAAATGCCCTGTCCGCCTCAGCCGACCACTGCAAACGAACCGGACCCCCCTTTAGCAGGGACGTAATGGGAGCTGCAACCTGTCCAAAACCCCGAATAAACCTCCGGTAGTAATTAGCAAAACCCAAGAACTGCTGCACCTCTTTTACAGTGGTTGGAGTTTGCCAATTACGCACGGCCGATACCCGGTCTACCTCTATCTCCACACCAGACGCGGACAACCGATAACCCAAAAAGGAGACGGACTCCTGGAAGAACAGGCATTTCTCTGCCTTGACATACAAGTCATGCTCCAACAGTCTTCTCAACACTCGGCGCACCTGGGCTACATGCTCGGCTCGTGTAGAAGAGTACACTAGGATGTCGTCGATGTAAACTACTACACCCTGCCCATGCATGTCCCGGAAAATCTCGTCAACAAAGGATTGGAAGACTGAAGGAGCATTCATTAAACCGTATGGCATGACGAGATACTCGTAATGACCCGAGGTGGTGCTAAATGCTGTTTTCCATTCATCCTCCTCCCTAATGCGCACCAGATTGTACGCGCTCCTGAGATCCAACTTTGTGAAGAACCGCGCTCCGCGTAACGATTCCGTCATTGTCGCAATCAGTGGCAGTGGGTAACTGTATTTAACTGTGATCTGATTGAGACTACGGTAATCAATACACGGGCGCAATCCCCCGTCCTTCTTCTTCACAAAGAAGAAACTCGAGGAGACCGGGGAAGTGGAGGACCGTATGTATCCCTGTGCCAAGGACTCGGCTATGTAAGTCTCCATAGCCGCTGTTTCCTCTTGAGACAGGGGATACACACGACTCCGTGGAAGAGCCGCTCCTGTTTGGAGATTTATCGCACAGTCCCCCTGTCTATGAGGAGGTAGCCGCGTTGCCCTCGATTTGCTGAACACAAGTGCTAAATCCTCATACTCAGGGGGGATGCGCAGTGCGGGCACTTGGTTCGGACTCTCTACCGAGGTCGCCCCTACGGAAACACCTAGACATCTCCCTACACACTGGGCAGACCACTCCATAAGAGCCCTCTGTTGCCACGCTATGGTAGGATCATGGGTGCTTAACCAGGGAAGGCCCAACACCACGGGGTACGCAGGAGAGTCAATCAGATAAAACTGAATGATCTCCTCATGACCCCCCTGCGTCGTCATCGTCAGCGGTGCCGTGACTTCCCTGATCAGGCCCGAACCCAACGGCCGGCTGTCTAATGCGTGGACAGGAAATGGAGCTTCTACCGGCCGAAGGGGAATCCCTAACCTACAACAAAATGCCCGATCAATAAAGTTCCCAGCTGCGCCTGAATCTACTAGCGCCTTATGCTGGGAATGAGGTGCCACCTGTGGAAATCTCACAGGAATACTCATGTGACCAACAGAAAGCTCTGGGTAAGTGGGGCGCCTACTCACCTGAAATGACTCCCCAGTGCGTGGCCTGTTGTCACCTCTCCCAGGAGACCCTCCCCAGCACCTGGCCGCGGTGTGTCCTCCACGACCACAGGTGGTGCAGGGGATGGCCCCCCTCGGGTTCCCTCTCCTCCTCTCTCTAGCGCCAGCACCCCCGAGCTCCATGGGAATCGGCTCGGAGGTGCTGGAGGGTGGAATGGATACCCCCACTCGGGACGTCCGCGGGTAGCCAGCAGGGTGTCTAGACGGATGGAAATGTCCACCAACTGGTCGAACGACAGGTTGGTGTCCCTGCAGGCCAGCTCACGACGAACGTCCTCTCGTAGGCTACACCGGTAGTGGTCAATGAGGGCCCTCTCATTCCACCCCGCATCCGCCGCTAGTGTCCGGAACTCCAGTGCGAACTCCTGTGCGCTCCTCTTCCCCTGTCGGAGGTGGAATAGACGCTCTCCCGCCGCTTTCCCCTCAGGTGGATGATCGAAGACGGCCCTGAAGCGGCGGGAGAACTCCGCGTAGGTGATGGTTGTGGCGTCTATTCCCCTCCATTCGGCGTTGGCCCACTCCAACGCCTTGCCGGATAGACAGGAGATGAGGGCGGAGACGCTCTCGTATCCCGATGGCGCCGGGTGTATGGTGGCCAGGTAGAGTTCCACCTGCAGGAGGAATCCCTGACACCCGGCTGCAGAACCGTCATATGCCCTCGGGAGCGAGAGCCGAATCCCACTGGGTTCCGGTGCTGAGAGAGGAGGACTGGCCGTTGGTGATGGGATGTTGTAAGAGTGCGTGGGCACCTCTCGATTCACCAACTGGCGCAGAGTGTTGGACACCTCGTCCATGGCGGTCCCGAGTTGCCGGATCATAGTGTCCTGGTAGTTGATCCGGGATTCCAGGGATTCGGGTGCCGCGGCTGTTCCTGCTGACTCCATGGTATGGTGTGTTGTTCTGTCACTAGGAACCGATGTGGAAGTGGTGGAGGAGTCAGGCGCAGGACACAGAGGTTAAGTCCAACAGACTTTAATAGTCGAACGAACAAGAGAAAAACCCGACCTCGAAAATAAACCAAGAGGCGAGGGAAAATTACGCAACACGCGTAACACTAAGCACAAAACAACAAGAGAGTGCAGACACGTAGCTCCGAACAAAGTGGCAGCAAAAACAACACACAATAAGACTAGTGCAAAACACGGAACTTATAAGACAAGTAATCAACACACAAATGGACACAGGTGTAACAGACAGACAAAAGCAATCAAACACCGAAACATAGAGCGGTGGCAGCTAGTACTCCGGGGACGGCGAACGCCGAAGCCTGCCCGAACCAGGAGGAGGAGCAGTCTCGGCAGAATCCGTGACAGTGTGTATTGTTTTATATTCTTAGGTATACTGCACTGTTGGAGCTACAAACATAAGCATTTCGCTGCACCTGCGATAACATCTGCAAAATATGTTTGCGCGACCAATACATTTTGATTTAAGAGGATCACATACCCAACATTTTGTGGGAGTATTTTTAATTGGTCTACCAAAAACAAATGAAATGTTTTAAATGTTATTCAATTAAATAAATTAAACAAATTAACATCATTAAACCAAAGCATCCAGCTCCTCCAGCTTAAGAGACAGACTAGTGTCTCTTCAGTCGACAGCAGCTCAGACAGGTCTAGGTCTAGTATAGCTGTGTTAAGTTGTTGTTCAGATGGGTTGTCTCCCTTCCTTAACCCTGAGTGCACCTATCATGCCGAGCCGTCTGAGGGCTCAGAGCTGGAGAAGGCAGCCTACGCCCTCAACACCAAGCAGAAGATAGTGAAGCTGATTGGCCAGTGGGTGGCACTGTTCGGCCAGATTCTCAAAGACGACCCTATCGCTGTTGACTTCCTGGAGGTGAGTGAGGGTGATAGTGGGCTTCTCTATAAACACACACAGATATTATGTGTATGTACAGATATATACAGATATAGGATCTTAATTTGAGACAGTTTGCTACAGCAACATAAAATGTGAATTATTATGTGTATTATAATTCATGGGGGAAAAATTGTAGGGGTTGATACATTTTTCGTTAGGGCAAATCAAGACTGACATTTTAAAGTGGAAATTACAAACTTTAGAATACTTTTTAAACCTCGATTACACTACAAGTTTGCATTTCCTGCTGTGCAGGAAACATCTGTAGATGATCTACACAGGATCAATAATAGCAGTCTTATATTAATGTTATTTATCCAAATATAAGGCTTTGAAAAGCAGATAATGTAGAACATATTGTATATGTAATATATAGTAAATTGTGCAGTATATTATATTGAATGTAGGCCTGTGTATATGTCTCTGTGTGTGTTGTGACCATAAACATACAGTATACATACAGTGTTTCTATGCATGCCAGACGCTGAGGAAAGAGGTGACAGGTGACTCTCGTCTGTCCAGTATGCTGAGAGAGCAGCTCAGAGACAGGAGGAGAACCAGAGTGTGAGTAGTAACATATCACCCAGTCAGTCTGTCATATAGAAGAACCTACCAGGTGAATGAATGAGGTCAAAGGTCAAGATACCTGTAGTACGTCATGGGGTGGATTGGATATTTGTGGTGTGACTTCAGTAATGTGAAACTTAAGTTATATCTATTTCTATGTACTCACATTTTGATAGGCTCACATACCCAACAATTACGGCAGTATATTTTTATCTGTCTACCAAAACAAATTAACAAATTTAACAAGGCATCTAGCTCCTCCTGCTGAAGAGACAGACTAGTGTTCAGTCGACAGCAGACAGCAGCCATATTGTTAACATTATGAGGTATCGTAACCAGGATGATTGGAGTATTTCTTGCATGTAGATTCTAATACAAATAATTTAGCATTTTTTTATCTTTCCAGGCTGGAGAATGGTGTTGAGTCACTGACAAGGGTAAATTGCTTAATAATAATAATAATAATAATAATAATAATAATAATAATAATAATAATAATATGCTTATAATGAATAATCTCGGTTAATCCAGAACTAAAATCTTGCGTAATTTGGTCAGATTCTAAAGTTATGTTTAAGTAGTCTATCCACGAGAGATTACATGCTCAATAAAGATCACTTTTGCACACATACACTATATATACAAAAGTATGTGGACACCCCTTCAAATTAGTGGATTTGGCTATTTCAGCCACACCCGTTGCTGACAGGTATAAAAAAAATCGAGCACACAGCCATGCAATCTCCATAGACAAACATTGGCAGTAGAATGGCCTTACTGAAGAGCTCAGTGACTTTCAATGTGGCACCGTCACAGGATGCCACCTTTCCAACAACTCAGTTCGTCAAATTACTGCCCCGGTCAACTGTAAGTGCTGTTACTGTGAAGTGGAAAGGTCTAGGAGCAACAACGGCTCAGCCGCGAAGTGGTAGGCCACATAAGCTCAAAGAACGGGACCGCCGAGTGCTGAAGCGCGTAACGCGTAAAAATCGTCTGTCCTCGGTTGCAACACTCACTACCGAGTTCCAAACTGCCTCTGGAAGCAACGTCAACACAATAACTGTTCATCAGGGAGCTTCATGAAATGTTTTTCCATGGCTGACGAGCCGCACACAAACCTAAGATCACCATGCGCAATGCCAAGCGTCAGCTGGAGTGGTGTAAAGCTCACCGCCATTGGACTCTGGAGCAGTGGAAACGCGTTCTCTGGAGTGATGATTCACGCTTCATCATCTGGCAATCCGACGGACGATTCTGGGTTTGGCAGATGCCAAGAGAACGCTACCTGCCCCAATGCATAGTGCCAACTGTAAAGTTTGGTGGAGGAGGAATAATGGTCTGGGGCTGTTTTTCATGGTTCGGGCTAGACCCCTTAGTTCCAGTGAAGGGAAATATTAACGCTACAGCATACAATGACATTCTAGATGATTCTGTGCTTCCAACTTTGTGGCAACAGTTTGGGGAAGGCCCTTTCCTGTTTCAGCATGACAATGCCCCCATGCACAAAGTGAGGTCCATACAGAATTGGTTTGCCAACAGTGTGGATGAACTTGACTGGCCTGCACAGAGCCCTGACCTCAACCCCATCGAACACATTTAGGATGAATTGGAACTCCGACTGCGAGCCAGGCCTAATCGTCCAATATCAGTGCCCGATCTCAATAATGCTCTTGTGGCTGAATGGAAGCAAGTCCCCGCAGCAATGTTCCAACATCTAGTGGAAAGCCTTACCAGAAGGATGGATGCTGTTATAACAGCAAAGGGGGGACCAACTCCATATTAATGCCCATGATTTTGGAATGAGATGTTCGACGAGCAGCTGTCCACATACTTTTGGTCATGTAGTGTACTTCTGCTCCTCTGGTTATTACCACATTACATGCCCCCTTTACTTAGGCAGATTGTGAGATAACAAAACAATATGAGTCCTCAGAAATTCTGGAAAAGTAGACAGTACATAATGCCTCCCTGAGCTAAAAGATATTAAAGCATAAAAAACATAGAAAAATGAAAAGCCACACTTGTGGCTGACGTACTCTGTCTGTTGTTTGTCACCATCAGTTTGACTGGTTCTCCAGTTGTGAGGAGCCAGTGGGGAAGTGTCTGCCAATCAGATCACAGGACAAAGGTCAGTGAGACTACTACAAAACTTAAAAGATCAGCTGACAATATGTAAACCATAGCATGATAATAACTATGTCTTGAATAGTATGGTAATGTCCTTTTCTATAATGTTTTACTGTTTATTACAATTGGTTAACCATTCACAGCCCACTGCAACCATGAAAGGCACTTACAGATTGGTCAGTATTAATGGTTGTTGATGTACTTTGTTTTAATGCCAAAATGTATTCTCCCATGTCCCTGTGTTTCCTAGTATTGTATGAGATCTTTCGGCCAGACCATACGTCAGTCACTCTGATGCTGCCGGTGAACGCCTCTGTTCAGGAAGTGATGTCATCGCTGGTAAACCCAGGAGGAGACCACGTCCTGGTCAAAATGAATTCCATGGGAGGTGGGTGGCTCTTCTTTTCTTTTTTTTTTCCATGTCATCTGGAAGCAATTTGAATCCCTTTTCTAAGATACAGCTGTACAGGATATGCATTAAAAGCGCTGCAATTTCAATCCGACGTCTGCATTGGCCGTGCAGCATTTACGGTGACACGGCCTCTGCAGAAGTCAGGGCATTCATACTTCTGGCGCTTCGCAAGGCAGCGCAGAGCTGTTGTGAAGGAAGTTGTCAAGGATTTGAGTTTGCGTTTATACAGGACCTCCCGCCCTCACCTACTGTCAACCAATCATGTCAATGTGGAGCTATACAGAGCCCTCCGCATTGTTACAACATTCGAGAGGTGCACCGCGATGTGGTACGGAGCTTGATTTGGTCTCTGCATGCCTACGGGGGCTTGGCAATTGTGTCATACGAAGCTCCGACCACATTTTCAGATCAAGCATAAATTTGATTTTAGTTCCCTACCAGTTAATACACTTGGTACAGCACTCCCTCCTTCAAGCAAGAGCAGTTATATTCATAACGTTACGATTTTCTATATGTACATGTTAAAGTTTTTGTAATATGTAAATGTAATATTAGGGTAAATTGTATTGAAAGAGTGTAGCTCTCAGTGAGTGTTGATGTTATGTTGGGGTGTGTCTGTGAGCTGTTGTGTGTTAAAGGGTTTGTGTTTGCTGTATCATAGACAGGACTCAGCTGAAGCTGGATACCACAGCAGTCTACACCTCCCTGGGGCTGAATGAGAGACTGTTCCTCTGCACTGCCAGCCAGGTGGAACAACTGGTGAGTCATCACCTACTTAACCATTACTGTCTGCTGTTTCACACAGTCAGAGATCAGTAGCTCACCACTGCTTATCAATATAAGATAACATAGCCAATACTATACAACGGTGTGCACTCCATGGTGAAATGGTTTATCGACTATAGTCTAGATAATGCATCTATACTCTATCATGTGTGCGTAGATTAACATACTGTATCTACAAGTTACCTATATTTTAAGAACTACACTACATGGTGAATCAGACAAGAACATACCGAGACAGTCATCATAGCATACTGTAGATGTTTGTGTGAATGCCCCCCCCTAAGGTCCAGTATCATGATGTCATGGATGGTTGTTTTCTGGCACCTTCACAGACGCCCCTGAAGGAGCAGCAGGGTCCTGATCAGAGCACCATGGACACTTTGGAGCAGATGTGTTCAAAGGACATCGCCAGCCAGCTCACCAACTACGACTGGGAACTGTTCACCGCCATGCACGAGGTAAGGAAGGAAAGGTGAGGCCAGAGCTGTGCCAATATTGTGGAGTGGAAGTTATGGATTTGGGACCAGCAGGACAAAAGTTAAAAGTGGAGAAACTGTTGCATATGTTTGCAATGGGCGCTTGTGTGGGTACATTATATACCCAGCTTTAAATACTGAGTATCAACAGTATGCTCTGTTTCCCTGGATAAATACATGTTAGGTCTATAAGGGCATGACATCTATCTCACATGTGGGTATGCACTGTGGTAGGTAGCTAATGCAACAGGGTAAGGTGACTCAGATGGGAGCTGTCTCAGTGCTAACATGCATCCTTGGTCCTGATCTTGACCGTAAGGAATCCTTTCTCTGACATCTTCAATCTGATAACTGCTACTGCAGCATCATGTCAACCATCAGATCGTCTCCTCAACTGATGTATCAGCCACGTGTTTCATCTGACACACATGCTTCTTTATGTAACGTTGATTTAACCAGGTTGTCCCATTGAGGTCAATACGCTTCCCACTTGGCACACACTGGTTGAATCGACGTTGTTTGCACATCATTTCAATGGAGGTTGAATGTTTGAAGTGGTACGGAGTATGAAAAAATGTATGCACTCACTAACTGTAAGTCGCTCTGGATAAGAGCGTCTGCTAAATGACTAAAATGTAAAATGTAAATGTAAATTACGTTGAACCAACATGAAATAGATGCTGAATTGACGTCTGTGCACAGTGGGCTATTTGACAAGGAAACCAAATTCAAGTCAGGTTCAAATGTTATACAAAATTGAAGGTTTAGAGCTCGATTCAATCCGTATCGCTGAAGTTCAGCACTATAGCACGATTTAAATGTGAAGGTAATTTCCAATTGAGCCAACATATACAGTGTTTACCGTGAATGCACTCTTGCGTTTAAATTTCTATTGCGCTGTAGCGCAGCTCTTCAGCGCTACGGATTGAATCGAGCCCTTAGTCCATTGGATGTTTGCTTCATATACCGTTTTTGGGTCCATACATAATAGCTTTTGATGTGTGTTTAGTCTGCTACAGTACATGTGGATGGTAAGTGAATATGTCTCTCTCCCATCAGGTGGAATTAGTCTACTATATATTTGGGCGACATAAATTCCCGGGCGCCACCACAGCTAACCTGGAGCGTTTCGTGCATCGCTTCAACGAGGTGCAGTACTGGGTGGTGACGGAGGTGTGTCTGTGTACTGACCTGGTCAAGAGAGCCATGCTGCTCAAGAAGTTCATCAAGATGGCCGTCGTGTGAGTGGCACTCAAATTAAAACACAGCTTACCTTGTAAAGTGTAGATTAATTACTATGTTATCTTAGGGGTAACTATCCCTATATAGCAGTATACTACACTGAGTATACAAAACATTAAGAACATCTGTTCTTTTTATGACATAGACTGAACAGCTAAATCCAGGTGAAAGCTATGGTCCCTTATTGATGTCACTTTAAATCCACATCAATTACTGTAGATGAAGGGGAGACAGGTTAAAGAAGGATTTGTAAGCCTTGAGACAATTGAGAAATGGATTGTGTATATGTGCCATTCAGAGGGTGAATGGGCAAGACAAAATATTGAAGTGCCTTTGAAAAGGGTATGTTAGTAGGTGCCAGGTGCACCAGTTTGTGTCAAGAACTGCAACACTGCTGGGTTTCTCACACTCAACAGTTTTCCGTGTGTATCAAGAGTGGTCCACCACCCAAAGGACATCCAGCCAACTTGATACAACTGTGGGAAGCATTGGAGTCAACATGGGCCAGCAAACCTGTGGGGGGTGCGCAACTTAATATTAAGAAGTGTTCCTAATGTTTGGTATACTCAGTGTATATTGGTAATGTTGTACAATAACACACTTTATACAAAAAATTGAACATACCAGCAGAAATCATGTTTTCATATCCAGTTAAACTGATTTATAAAAGATTGGTAAAGGAAGATGCTCTCTTGTCTGTAGCCACTGATGCGCCAAGGCTGCGTTTACACAGGCAGCCCAATTCTGATCTTTTGCTATTCATTGGTGTTTTGACCAATCAGATCAGATATTTTGCCAGTAAGTGATAAAATAATCACTTAGGTAATGCACATGCTTAGTCTGCCCACAGCTGTTACTGACTGTGTTTCCTATTTCAGGTTGAAGGAACAGAAGAACCTAAACTCGTTCTTTGCGGTGATGTTTGGTCTGAGTAACAGTGCTGTACAGAGACTTAACAAGACCTGGGAGGTGAGGTCTGCTGGGGACAATGACCTACATTTTGATTATCGCTTATAACAATTGATTTGATTATAACAGATGTGAAATGGATTTCAGAGGAGATCTTGTAACAGTTGTTGTTTTTGTTGACAGAGAGTGCCGAGTAAGACGAAAAGGGTGTATTGTGCATACGAGAGGTTAATGGTGAGTGAGTTAATGTGTGCGCACTTACAAGCTAGCTATATAACAGTGTTCCATTAAATGTCATTGATAATGACGGGTGACATCACAGGCCACTTGTAAATCCCTCCACTTCATTTCCATTGTGTGTATGAATCATGTTTTCCTCCCATTGTAATATGTAAACATGTTTTCAATATATATATTTCCTATATAATTAGCAGGTTGGCATTTATTGGGATGACTCATGTATTGGAGGCAGCTCTGCAGAGTAGTCACTATCTGGCACAGCCACAAAGCCATAAAATCTGATTTTAAACCTAACCCTAACCTTAACCACACTGCTAACCTTACGCCTAACCCTAACCTTAAATTAAGACAAAAAAGCGAAGAGTTGTCTAAAAAGATGTCTAGAAATGCACACATTTTGTGCTCATCTAGGAAGCAATCACTCCCCCATTGCTGACTACAAATGATCTATAACTGGGCTAATAACTCACTAACAAGCAAAGGATATGAACATGTAGCTCTCGCTTTGATCTCAAAACAAGCACATCTATTTACGACCACTCATGCTGTAAAAACAGTCCAGTTCAAAGTGAATGGCACAGATCCATATATACGACAATGGTCTATTTGCATATAGGCCTACTGCAGCTCTGATTGGTTATGACGCACCGGTCTGTGTAGAGTACGGGCCTGAGTCATGCCTGTCAATGCAATAGAATCCTACTCCAGGGCCTCCCGAATGGCGCAGCGGTCTAAGGCACTGCATCGCAGTGCTTGAGGCGGCACTACAGACCCAGGTTCGATCCCAGGCTGTGTCACACCCATGAGGCGGCACACAATTGGCCCAGCGTGGTCCGGGTTAGGGGAGGGTTTGGCCGGCCGGGATTTCCTTGTCCCATCGAGCTCTAGCGACTCCTTGTGGCGGGCCGGGCGGTGTTTCCTCCGACACATTGGTGCGGCTGGCTTCTGGGTTAAGTGAGCAGTTTGTCAAGAAGCAGTGCGGCTTGGCAGGGACGTGTTTTGGAGGATGCATGGCTCTCGACCTTCGCCTCTCCCGAGTCCATAGTGGAGTTGCAGCGATGGGACAAGACCGTAACTACCAATTGGATATTACGAAATTAGGGAGAAAAAGGGGAGAAAAAAAAACGCATTCTGCCTACAACAAAATCTCTTGCATAGTTTGTTTTGTTTTGGTATGTTACATTGAAAGTGGCTAATATTGTGTTGATTCGATCACAATTCCCACAGTGAAGGGAAACGTTGATAGTGTTAACTAACGGGGAAAACTCTAGAAAGTTGAGTGAAGTTAAATCTCATGCTTCTCTGCACGGGCTGATATTTATTCTGCGCGCAGCTTAGAGGGAACATGGATGCTGGCCCATGTTGACACCAATGCTTCCCACAGTTGTGTCAAGTTGGCTGGGTGTCCTTTGGGTGGTGGACCAGACTTGATACACACAGGAAACTGTTGAGCGTGAAAAACCCAGCAGCGTTGAAGTTCTTGACACAAACCGGTGCGCCTGGCACCTACTACCATAACCTTTTCAAAGGCACTTCAATATTTTTGTCTTGCCCATTCACCCTCTGAATGGTACACATACACAATCCATGTCTCAATTGTTTCAGGGCTTAAAAATCCTTCTTTAACTGGTCTCCTCCCCTTCATCTACACTGATTGAAGTGGATTTAACAAGTGACATCAATAAGGGATCATGGCTTTCACCTGATCAGTCTGTCATGGAAAGAGCAGGTGTTCTTAATATTTGGTATACTCAGTGTATAGCCAATTTTGACTTTGCAGCTGGCCCATCTAGTGGAAATCGCTCCAGGACAAGATTTACCCCAATAAATGTCAACCTATATATAAGTAGGGGCGGCAGGTAGCCTAGCGGTTAGAGAGGCGAGCCAGCAACCGGTGTGGCAGCCCCCCGCACCTCTTCCCCCCAAAAAATGTGTGTCTTTCGGAGGGGTTGGGTTAAAAGCTAATTTCAGTTGGACCTTGTGTGCAGTTGACCAATAAAGTGATCTTAATCTATAGCTAATGGAGAATTGTTTTTATTTCTGTTAATGTGTCAGGATCCGTCACGTAACCACAGAGCGTACAGACTGGCTGTGGCAAAGCTCAGTCCTCCCTACATCCCCTTCATGCCCCTGCTACTCAAAGGTAATAATGCTTTCTTAGCCTTGTGACAAACGTAACATTCAATATCTGAGTTAATTCTACATGACCCTATACTGAACCAGTATGTTGTTCTGTTCACCAACTGTACCTACCTCTAGACATGACATTCATCCATGAGGGAAACAAGAACTACACGGACAAACTGGTCAATTTTGAGAAAATGGTGAGTTGTCTAGCCTAACTATCACATTTTCACATCCTGTAGATGTGCTGTAGATTACCATCAATCAGCCCTTACCTAAGTTATGTCTTCTCTTTGTGTCTGTAAACTATTGCCTGTATAAGCTACCTTTTCTTTTCACCGTTGCAGCGCTTGATTGCTAAGACAGTGAAGATAGTTAGAGGGTGCAGAAGCACGCCTTACGGTAAGAAAACAAAAGAAAACAAAATTGTAGAATAGGACGGGATAGGAAGGACAATGTTGTGGCATGGTGTTCACTCTCTATGGTTCTTTGTCCTACAGTGCCTTCATCACCTCAGAAGGGACTCGCAGACAGAATGTTTCTGGAGGCGCCTTCCATTCGGGTGTCCACATGTAAGCTATGCCTTATCTACAAAAATCAACACTAATTTTCCATTCTGAGAACTTCAAATGATATTAAGTAACTGCAGCGCTTCAATTTTAATTTTTTAAACACATATCTCCCTCTGTCTCTTGTCCAGATTCCGAGCAATCCCTCCCTCTCCGGAATCCTAGCAACATCCGCCACTATGTTCAGAACTTTGAAGTGATTGACAACCAGCGCAAACTGACACAACTGTCCAGAGGAATGGAGCGCTGAGGGCTGAACCAGACCAGTATACAGTTGATGTCGGAAGTTTACATACACCTTAGCCAAATACATTTAAACTCAGTTTTCACAATTTAATGACATTTAATCCTAGTCAAAATTCCCTGTCTTAGGTCAGTTAGGATCACCACTTTATTTTAAGAATGTGAAATTTCATAATAATAGTAGAGAGAATTATTTATTTAAGCTTTTTTTTCTTTCATCACATTCCCAGTGGGTCAGAAGTTTACATCAACTAAATTATTATTTGGTAGCATTGCCTTTAACTGAGTCAGGTTTGTAGGCCTCCTTGCTCGCACACGCTTTTTCAGTTCTGCCCACAAATTTTCTATAGGATTGAGGTCAGGGCTTTGTCGTCCTTAAGCCATTTTTCCACAACTTTGGAAGTATGCTTGGGGTCATTGTCCATTTGGAAGACCCATTTGCAAACAAGCTTTAACTTCCTGACTGATGTCTTGAGATCTTGCTTCAATATATCCACATAATTTTCCTTCCTCATGATGCCATCTATTTTGTGAAGTGCACCAGTCCCTCCTGCAGCAAAGCACCCCCACAGCATGATGCTGCCACCCCCGTGCTTCACGGTTGGGATGGTGTTCTTCAGCTTTCAAGCAATCCCCTTTTTCCTCCAAACATAACGATGGTCATTATGGCCAAACAGTTCTATTTTTGTTTCATCAGACCAGAGGACATTTCTCCAAAAAGTACGATCTTTGTCCCAATGTGCAGTTGCAAACCGTAGTCTGGCTTTTTTATGGCGGTTTTGGAGCAGTGGCTTCTTCCTTGCTGAGCGGCCTTTCAGGTTATGTCGATATAGGACTCGTTTTACTGTGGATATAGATACTTTTGCACCTGTTTCCTCCAGCATCTTCACAAGGTCCTTTGCTGTTGTTCTGGGATTGATTTGCACTTTTCGCACCAAAGTACGTTCATCTCTAGGAGACAGAACGCGTCTCCTTCCTGAGCGGTATGACGGCTGCATGGTCCCATGGTGTTTATACTTGCATACTATTGTTTGTACAGATGAACGTGGTACCTTCAGGCATTTGGAAATTGCTCCCAAGGATGAACCAGACTTGTGGAGGTCTACAATTTTTATTCTGAGGTCTTGGCTGATTTCTTTAGATTTTCCCATGATGTCAAGCAAAGAGGCACTGAGTCTGAAGGTAGGCCTTGAAATACATCCACAGGTACACCTCCAATTGACTCAAATTATGTCAATTAGCCTATCAGAAGCTTCTAAAGCCATGACATCATTTTCTGGAATTTTCCAAGCTGTTTAAAGGCACAGTCAACTTAGTGTATGTAAACTTCTGACCCACTGGAATTGTGATACAGTGAATTATAAGTGAAATAATCTGTCTGTAAACAATTGTTGGAAAAAGTACTTGTGTCATGCACAAAGTAGATGGCCTAACCGACTTGCCAAAACTATAGTTTGTTAACAAGAAATGTGGGGATTGGTTGAAAAACTAGTTTTAATTACTCCAACCTAAGTGTATGTAAACTTCCGACTTCAACTGTATAAGGACTGTGTTTTATTACAGCATGTGAATCAGAGGTTGGCAGGGGAATACACACCTCCATGGTCATACTAATCCACATGCAAGCTCTTCTATAGTCTCATGTACATGTCTGGTGTCAAGAATGGAGGACTGTGGGGATGTTCAGTATCACACAGAGAGCATTGAGGAGAAGCAGCTTGTTGGACTACTAATCAATAGTACAAGGACCTGAGGAGGGATCTGACTGGCAGTATCTAGTGACCTCTAGTGTCTTACCAGATAAGTTGTTTGTCCTCACCGACCACTGTTACTGATAGGACTGTGTGGCGCTACAACCTGAGGAAGAAGTACATACATTTGGCATTAGCTGTTATTTATACAATAATTTGTATAGTATAATATTTGTAAGATAAGCTTATGGTTTTACATTTTTAAATTTTTGTCATTTAGCAAACGCTCTTATCCAGAGCGACTTACAGTTAGTGAGTGCATACATTTTTCATACTGGCCCCCCGTGGGAATCGAACCCACAACCCTGGCGTTGCAAGCGCCATGCTCTACCAACTGAGCTACAGTAGGCCCTACAGGAGGCCTCTCACTTTTACAAGTGAGTGCCATATAAGCACATACAATAGGTCTATGTTATAGCTCCTAGTTATGGTGTTTTAGTTTGTTTTGGCCTTCTCCACTTTGTAATACAACTATCATGTACAATAAGTTGTTGAGCAATCAGTTGTTTCCAGACAGCATACACAAATGTGTAAAACATTTCATGTCATGTGCAAGTTTATTTTTTCTAAATAAATTATTTTCAGAACTGTGTATTCAATCAAAGCATGTCATCAGGATTTGTAAAAATTAAACATTTTATTTGAAATGCAAACCGTATAATAAGAGACAAAATCATCTTCCCAAAAAGTCTCCCCAATATGGGGAGAGTAAATTTCACAAATGTTTTTCTTCAATTGGATCTAAAAAATATTCTCGGCAGAAATATATTTACAACTTTGTAAAAAGGAGATTTTTTAAATGGGGCCTAGAAAGCATTGAGAAAACAAGGATAAACCCAGTGTAGTCTCCTGCTGTAACCACAGAGGATTCTGTTTAAAACATCCTCTTTCAATATAAATAATACTAGGTTGACATTTTCAGTCTGGACACCACGATCATACATATACTGTTCAAAACAATATCCAAATACTGTTCAAAATAATATGATACATGTCAAATGAATCCACTGAATGTTGATAAAGCTTGTGGATTAAATCACCAATATGAGCTAAAGGGCATTCAAAAGAAACAGTGAAAATGTGTAAAACTATGGCTGCGTTTGGATAGGTGATACAATTGAACTGAACATACATTATCACACATGCCCACTCAAGTTCAACTCAGAGGTTCTTTACCACTGATATCTGAAATAGTGATACTAAACATTGCCTAGTTATAGCAGTGGAGCAAAATATACAATTGGTCAATATGTGCAGTGGAAAAATCTAGGAGGAAAAAAACAAACCAATTGTTTTAGACAATATCCCATCCGACCACAGGGAACAAACTTTGTATGATTTTTATCACACACTCATCACCAGATGTTAGATACACCAGGTGTAACACAACACCTCTGGAACAAAATGAACGAAAAAATTTAAAAAATACGGCAAAAACTAAAACCAATATCAACCAGAGTGAATAATAATATTGCACTTACAAACAATTTGTTTAGTTCCCAATGCCCAGATGCTATCCCTTTACAAGAGGCACAAACTGATTTTACTGTACATGTATGTATGCATGTGCATTTTCATTGCAGTCTCTCTACTGCATTAAGGGCCTGATTCAGACTTGAGATAAGTTAACTTAACATGGACTTAAGTTTTTAAAAATGTTGACTTAAATCCATGTTAAGTCTACTTATCTCAAGTCTGAATCGGGCCCTAAATGAATAGCTACTCTGGTCCTAGCTGTCCTAAACACTATTGGGCAGTCTCAACCCATCCTGAGTACAGATTGAAGTGATGCGATGATCAGCATTACTGCTGGACAAGTCTACCCTTCCCTAGTGATGCAAGAGAGAAAGGAGAGGACTTAGTTAGCAATGGGAAAGATATCTCTCTGATTCACACAAAAAAACATACACAGACAGGAACATTGACACATGAAGACACATGGAGTCCAACACACACAAAACCTATTTACATGACAAATAAATGAGCCCCACATATTCAGTCCATGGGTGAAGCTGCAGCATCGTGGTGGGAGAGCTTCTGGTACTCAGTCAGTTCTCTTTATCATAAAATAAACCAGAGCGAAGATGCTCCTAGAACACTACAAGATCCAGGTCAAACGTTTAGCCGTTTTAGCCGATATTTGGCCGTTTCCCTGACACTCACCGGAGTGAGCCCTGACCTGCAAGCAACCCAATCAGATTGTATGTATGTAGTCTGGACAAACTTGTTTACAAGTCACCAGCCAGAGTTCTATCTATCTCACAGGCCCATGGTGGATTGATCCAGTCAAGTCCCAGTCAGCTTTGAGGCAATGCTTTCATTTGTCACAACGAACACAAACATATAGGATCAACACAAAGTGATCAGTAAGGGTTCAAGTCAAACTCAAAGGAAGATCAGTCCGTCAGTATCCTGTCTGTTTTTGGCATCTTGTTAGACATCAGTAGATTTCCTTTGAGTGAAAAACAACTGGACCAAGCACTGCATGTCCACCAATCTGAGGCAGAAGAAGCTATTTTGGCAGTACAGGAGTCTATACCTGCCGAACATTACTGGAGCATTAAACAAAAGATAAGATCGGCTGTAAAAACATATTTGGTAGAAATGTGGATAGGTAAACAGCTCAGGTGTAGAGCGATTACGGAGACATGAGACAGACTGTCTGTGCTCCTCTGATGAACATGCTCCTCTGGTGCCCTGAACAGAAAGCATGTTTCCAACTTCGGTTGGGAAAGTATCAGATCAGATTTCTTGAATAGCTACAAAAAGGAAGGGAGATGCATTCAGTCCCACTCAACACCACAATATACCTTTTTGAAGCAATGAGCACACTTTTTTAGCACCAAAATGAAGGCAGTTGAAAAAGATTAAAACAATATTCTCTTTCACAAGGATCCACAAGGGAATAAAAAGCTGTTTTAAAAGATGTGCAGGGAGAAACCAAGCATCTTCCTTGATCGAATCAAGGGATTCCATAGGCTGCTCCTCTTCTTCTTCTGTAGTCACTAGTCTTGGACTTCAACTCAAATAGGATCAGTAAGTCTAAAGCCAGTTTGTCTGACTGTGACACTGCAGTTCAGCTTGGTGATCAACCCCAACCCGACGACGACAAACATAAACATATATTAAATTAAAAACATTCATTTGGTTTGGAGTTCTTTGGGTTTTTCTTCCTCTAGTGCAGTACAGTGGTCTTTCTACCTCCTCCTGACTCTTCAACTGCAGTCTAATCCTCTCTGGACATTTAAATTAAGCACATTTCTCCGTTGCAATCATGTGGGTTTCTAGGTTTCTTTGGTTATTCGACAACAAAATAGTTTGTTTTAAATCCTTTCTATGTGGTGTTTAGGCCTCAGATGCAGCCTGGGGCTTGAGTTGGGCCTTCTCCATAGCCATGCGGTAGGGTAGCGACCTTTTGAAGAAGCCAAGCTAGGAAGAGGAAAGCAGACATTATAAAAGTTAGAACTGAATATAATATCATATTTACAACATCATCTCAAATCTTCATATGTCAATGAGGATCTAGTCTCTCCAGCCAGACTTACATGTAGGCCTACAGAAGGCAGAGCTAAGAGTTTTGGCCCAAGACTAATAAAGTTCTAAAGGCAAATATGGGAAGTTCTTAAGAGATGGGAATCGCCCACTCTGCCGGACGTTAACATCAACGCTATCCTGACCACTCACTTTGTACAGGACGTAGATGAGCAGTGCCAGCAGCAGAAGCCCAGCCAGTATGGCCAGAATGATGATCCACAGGGGGGCAGAGTATTGGCTGTCTGGCTTGTTCCACACCACCGGGGTCACCACCTGAAGAGGGGGAACACATTTAGTCATGACCTCCACTTATAATAGCCTCGATTCCAGGCTTCCTGCATTTTCCCAACAATAGCTGAGTGATGAACGAAACATGGGCATACTATATGCAGGGGTTAAATTAGGACGGGTCCCACCGAGTCCCGACACCTATGATCCAAATGAGAGCCAAGCGGAGCTGAGACCCTGTAACTTTGGTTATGCGAATTTCAAATTATATAATGAATTATCTAATGACTGTTTTACCAACACGAGCAAGCAACAGCAAAATCAGACAACCCCATAGTAAAATAGTTTACCTATTCAATTGTTCAGCTCGTTACATTATATGCGAGAAAATAATATTCCTCACAAGGCACTTTCAAATTGGAAGTGCCTCACAGGCAGAGAAACATGCATGCCCAGTCATTGTACACATCCAAAATCACAATTCAACCACTGACTGTATGGTAATGGAAGACCAACAATACAATATAAAATAGAGCAGTTTGTTAACATGGGCGCACTGCACATACAGCTACCTTTTTAAATCCACTAGGTACCTCCTTGGGCAAGATGGCATATGGCATCTTGACCACGCTGAACATTGCCAGGCACTCCAGCACGTACCCCTTGTATGCCCTCTGAGAACGGAAATAAAACAACAGGATCAGATTGGATATCCATTGTGATTCTTCAAATAATTTGTGTAGGAGTACTGGAAAAGCAAACTGCAACTTGTATGGGTGATAGCCATGTGTGGACTAGTGATGGGTGCTGTTCGTCTTGTGTCCAGTAGGAGGCAATAATGTGCTACAGAAATTGATGAACCTCATCAGACCGGCTGGCTCTCTTTCTCACAAAACCCCTCTGACGTTCCAATCCTATGAGAAGGCGTGACCTTCAGCTAATGAATTTCCAATGCACTCACACATAAGCCTTGGTGTAAGGTCTTTCTCACAATGGCTTCTGTGGACAGATACCCTCCAGCTCTGCTATACCTAATACACTATAGACCAACACACACAATACACTCACAGAACAATTTAAATTATAATTGAATTATATTTTTTTCTGTTTATTTGCACCAAATATCTGAGTCTGTGCACTGGCAGAGTTTAGCTCTGAGGTAGCTGTAATACGGACATCTAGTCAATACAAATCACGTGTGTGAGTCTGACTGGTCATTCATATTTTACAGACTCTAATTTGAGGTTTTAAGTCTTGGTGTTTTCTTTGTATAGCTGCTTAAAGGAATATTTCTGCTTATACTCAGCCAAACCTTGACATGAGAAAATACACAGACAGCAATGTGAATAGACTGATAGGCCTACAGACAGAACACACAGACAGACAGTCCGTCTCATGCAGTCAGTGCCATTGTCATCTGGTAGAAACGTGTCTAGATGTGTAGTGAGTTTGAGATGAGGGAAGACCAGTAGTTCTGGTGGTTGCTTTCATCTCCGCATCTGAACCTGACTTCAATCACCTAATTAAAGTGGAACTGACAGCATTTTAACTACTTTGCAGATATGAAACAAACCGACAATCATAATATTAGTCACAAATATCAAACTCCCAGTTGAAGCTACAAAACCAACTTCATAAGAGGTTTTAAAAATAGATTATATTTGACAAAAAATGTCATGATGTAGAGTAAGTAATTATTGGCAGAATAGATGGATGCAGTTCAGTGCATGATTAATATAGCTAATTCACCAATACATTTCTTGGTAGTAGAACAAATATTGCTATCAGGTTGTACATCACAGCTGGCCTGGTAAAGCCCTTCAGCCCTTCAGGATACACTGGGGCTTGCGAAAGTATTCCCCCCCTTGGCAGTGTTCCTATTTTGTTGCCTTACAACCTGGAATTAAAATAGTTTTTGGGGGGGTTTGTATCATTTGATTTACACAACATGTCTACCACTTTGAAGATGCAAAATATTTTTCTATTGTGAAACAAACAAGAAATAAGACAAAAAAACTGAAAACTTAAGCGTGCATAACTATTCACCATCCCAAAGTCAATACTTTGTAGAGCCACCTTTTCCAGCAATTACAGCTGCAAGTATCTTGGGGTATGTCTCTATAAGCTTGGCACATCTAGCCACATTTAGCCACATAGCATTTTTGCCCATTCTTCAAGGCAAAACTGCTCCAGCTCCTTCAGGTTGGATGGGTTCCGCTGGTGTACAGCAATCTGTAAGTCATACCACAGATTCTCAATTGGATTGAGGTCTGGGCTTTGAGTAGGCCATTCCAAGACATTTAAATGTTTCCCCTTAAACCACTTGAGTGTTGCTTTAGCAGTATGCTTAAGGTCATTGTCCTGCTGGAAGGTGAACCTCCGTCCCAGTCTCAAATCTCTGGAAGACTGAAACAGGTTTCTCTCAAGAATTTCCCTGTATTTAGCACCATCCATCATTCCTTCATTTCTGACCAGTTTCCCAGTCCCTGCCGATGAAAAACATCACCACAGCATAATGCTGCCACCACCATGCTTCACTGTGGGGATGGTGTTCTCGGGGTGATGAGAGATGTTGGGTTTGCGCCAGACATAACATTTTCTTTGATGGCCAAAAAGCTAAATTTTAGTCTCATCTGACCAGAGTACCTTCTTCCATATGTTTGTGGAGTCTCCCACATGCCTTTTGGCGAACACCAAATGTATTTGCTTATTTTTTTCTTTAAGCAATGGCTTTTTTCTGGCCACTCTTCCGTAAAGCCCAGCTCTGTGGAGTGTATGGCTTAAAGTGGTCCTATGGACAGATACTCCAATCACCGCTGTGGAGCTTTGCAGCTCCTTCAGGGTTATCTTTGGTCTCTTTGTTGCCTCTCTGATTAATGCCCTCCTTGCCTGGTCCGTGAGTTTTGGTGGGCGGCCCTCTCTTGGCAGGTTTGTTTTGGTGCCATATTCTTTCAATTTTTTAATAATGGATTTAATGGTGATCCGTGGGATGTTCAAAGTTTCTGATATGTCTTTATAACCCAACCCTGATCTGTACTTCTCCACAACTTTGTACCTGACCTGTTTGGAGAGCTCCTTGGTCTTCATGGTGCCACTTGCTTGGTGGTGCCCCTTGCTTAGTGGTGTTGCGGACTCTGGGGCCTTTCAGAATAGGTGTATATATACGGAGATCATGTGACACTTAGATTGCACACATGTGGACTTTTTTTAACTAATTATGTGACTTCTGAAGGTAATTGGTTGCACCAGATCTTATTTAGGGATTTCATAGCAAAGGGGGTGAATACATATACACGCACCACTTTTCCGTTATTCGTGGTTTAGAATTTTTTTCATTCCACTTCACCAATTCTGACTATTTTGTGTATGTCCATTACATGAAATTCAAATAAAAATCCATTTAAATTACAGGTTGTAATGCAACAAAATAAGAAAAACGGCAAGGGGGATGAATACTTTTGCAAGGCACTGTATCAGTTTCAATGACTCAATATTTTGGACAAAAATGCACAAATGTAACTAAGGCTGGGAATGTCAATACAATCAAACTATATAGGGCAATGACCACAAGTAAGTCATAGCGTGGCTAATAGGCTAGCTTATCTATTTATGTAGCTGTTTATTTAGCAAGCTGAAAACATGGAGCCAGCCTAGTGTTAGCTAGCTAGCTGCTGGGAGTATATCATGTCATTGGACGAGTCAGTGAGTGGCCGACTTTTTCCTCCCATATTTTTTTCGGTGTAATCTGTGTAGTCCGGTCCTGAGGTGCGTTCAGTTCGCTTGAACGTTTGCTACGTTGCGGAACGGTTTATACTGAACGACACGTTTCCCAAAAACGTTATTGTACGTTCTTGAACAGACTAAGGTATGCTTGCTTCCGTTTGGTGGGTGTGGCTTGAAGCAATGAGTGACGTATTTAAAGAGCAGTGGCCATGCTGACAGCATTTCCCAACCCACAACCTCCCCGTTTTTCAACTGGTCGTTCAGTACAGCACCGTTTCCATTCAATTGAACGTTCCAGAATATAAAAACGTACTGAACCCAGCCCTGGACAAGACTGACACGTTTTTATTAGGTTTTATTTACTTCAATATCTATTAATTGTTTCACAAATGCCTTACTCTATGTCATTCCCAAACATTCTATGAAAGTATGAAAACGTGAAAATTACCAGACGTAAGTGCTCCCTTCTCAGAATATATATTTTTTAAAGGCGTCATATTCTTCCTGGGGGTGTTTGTGAACAGATTTTATGTTGCTAAAACGTCAGTTCCACTTTAAAAGTGTGTTGTGGAGTAATTATGTGTGCCATATTCATCTCTATAGTTTTCTTCGGCCCAGCAACTCAGAAAAGTGATGTGTGTTTGACTATGCAGAGTGTTTGACTACTCCAGTCCACACATACCTCGATGAAGGTCTCAGCCCAGATGCGGGCGCGCACTTTGAGGATGGCGCTGGTCCCCTTCTCCAGAAGACCCACGTCACACTGCAGCGTCCAGCACTCCACGTTAGAGCAGGACTAGATGGAGGGAGGGGGAAGGAGGAAGCAAGAGAGGGAGAGTGTTAATGCTCAACAAATGACATAAGATATGCCATGATTTGAGATATGCCATGCTCAAACTATTATTGCTGTCCTCAGGAAGAAAAACTAATCAGCTACCAAACAAACGTAACTTGTCATTCTATCAGGCTTAACTTAACAATAGTTAGCTAAGTGCATTAATTAAAAACTGAAGCAGAGGTCAGTAGACAGGGAGGAGGTAGATAGTAGGCTTGGGCGGTATACTGGGGTATTTTGAAATACCGAAGGTATGATTTTCAATACCCCCCACAAAATACAATAAGTAAGGGCAACTTTAACTCTGCAGGCCATACTGCAGGCCACATAAATATAACAAAGAGCTCAATGTTATGATCCCCATCCAGGGCTGCTTCCAATTAGAAAGAGATTGAGGGAATGTCATGAAACAAAAAATGCAGCATGCAGTCAACGCTCACCGCCATCCAACATTATTGCTCAACCACTGAAAAAAAGCCCACTTTTTTAGAATACACAATCTTAATTAAATCCTCATCATGGGAGCTGGGCGCTTTGCGTTGTAAACCTCCATAAACTGACTTTTAGTGTAGCTCAGTTGGTAGAGCATGGAGCTTGCAACGCCAGGGTTGTGGGTTCGTTTCCCACGGGGTGCCAGTATGAAAGAAAATTTACAAAAATTAAAATGTATGCACTCACTAACTGTAAGTCGCTCTGGATAAGAGCGGCTGCTAAATGACTAAAATGTAAATGTAGTGCCGGCGTGGTAGAGAGGTGGTGGCAGCATCATGCTGTGGGGATGTTTTTCAGCGGCAGGGACCGGGAGACTAGTCAGGATCGAGGCAAAGATGAACGGAGCAAAGTACAGAGAGATCCTTGATGAAAACCTGCTGCAGAGTGCTCAGGACCTCAGACTGGGGCGAAGGTTCACCTTCCAACAGGACAACGACCCTAAGCACACAGCCAAGACAATGCAGGAGTGGCTTCAGGACAAGTCTCTGAATGTCCTTGAGTGGCCCAGCCAGAGCCCGGACTTGATCCCGATTGAACATCTCTGGAGAGACATGAAAATAGCTGTGCAGCAACACCCAGCCAACCTTACAGAGCTTGAGAGGATCTGCAGAGAAGAATGGGAGAAACTTCCCAAATACAGGTGTGCCAAGCTTGTAGCGTCATACCCAAGAAGACTCGAGGCTGTACTCGCTGCCAAAGGTGCTTCAACAAAGTACTGAGTAAAGGGTCTGAATACTTGGGGTCTGGGGGAGACTGAGGGATCCTGGTGGGCCTGGAGTCTGGGGGAGGCTGAGGGAGCCTGGTGGGTCTGGGGTCTGGGGGAGGCTGAGGGAACCTGGGGGTCTGGGGGAGGCTGAGGGATCCTGGGGTCTGGGGGAGGCTGAGGGATCCTGGTGGGCCTGGGGTCTGGGGGAGGCTGAGGGATCCTGGTGGGTCTGGGGGAGGCTGAGGGATCCTGGTGGGTCTGGGGTCTGGGGGAGGCTGAGGGATCCTGGTGGGTCTGGTGGAGGCTGAGGGATCCTGGGGTCTGGGGAGGCTGAGGGATCCTGGTGGGCCTGGGGTCTGGGGGAGGCTGAGGGATCCTGGTGGGTCTGGGGTCTGGGGGAGGCTGAGGGATCCTGGTGGGTCTGGTGGAGGCTGAGGGATCCTGGTGGGTCTGGGGTCTGGTGGAGGCTGAGGGATCCTGGTGGGCCTGGGGTCTGGGGGAGGCTGAGGGATCCTGGTGGGTCTGGGGAAATGGTCCATATGGATATGGTCCAGTGCCAAAGATGCTTCAGCCAATAGTCCCCCCCTATCCTCCCTAGTGGGGTGGCCGAGGTCAAGGGCAGGAGCTGGGGGCTGGGAGGATAGCTGCTGTTCCCACAATGAGTAGAACAGCAGCGACTGGCTATATAATACAGGTGTGTGTGTGTGTGTGTGTGTGTGTGTGTGTGTGTGTGTGTGTGTGTGTGTGTGTGTGTGTGTGTGTGTGTGTGTGTGTGTGTTGAAGTGTACAATGACAGCCACTGTGTGATATGAATGCAAATAATAATTATGCCTTCATTTTTCTGGATTGTTCTAATAGCAGTTTAGAGACCAAGCTCAGATGTCAGTGTGTGTATATTGATACTTCATTTACAGGTCTTCTAGGATGAGGGCAGCCATACAGAGGCGTCTCCCTCATTTACCAGACCCCTACTAAAACCAGATTCAATCAAGGGGCTAAACAAACACTAATACACTTTGTATTTCTATTGAAAGACATTTTCAACAAAGATGTCTGTCCTTAGTTCCAACTCAGCATAAAAATTAAAGCGCTAAGAGTGAAACAAAGAATGGAAGCCTTTCTAGAAACGTGTCATCGGGCAGGCTTGATAAACGAGGGGCAGGTAAGAGCGACAGACGGGGGGACAAAGAGCTCTTTCAGTGCTGCAGGTAGTGACAGACAGAGGGAGAAGGAAAACAGAGGAGAGATATCTGGTCCTGCAGCTGCTTGGATCTATAGGGCCAATGGGTGCTAGGGGCAGGGGTGCCTGCACTAACAACACCACGTAGTCTGTGAACTAACCAGCGCATCATGCCCGGGTGGTTCCCCTGGTCCCCCAGATCCCCCTACTCTCATGCCCTTACTGCCCCAGCTCCACTCACCCCTGTCTCCCTGCAGCCCTTTAATGTTAATCATAAAAGTGGGACCACCACCACCCCACGCCCCCTGATCCCTCCCTCTTAATTACATCATACCTCATTAGCCAATCCCAGGAGGCTTATCTAAGAGTAGGACCAGGCCAGAGCCACCGTCCCAGATGAACAACATGCCATGGCTCCCGGCAATTCAGAGGAACAGAGAGGCAGAGGTTCAACCCTCCAGCTCAGCTCTATATCCAAAGAAAAGCCCCTGGCCTCTACCATACACTTGTCCTGTTTATTTGAACTATTTGACAACAGGAAACCGTCCTTAACAAGCAGAGGTTAAAAACAAGCCCTGCCTATCACTCTAAAAGCCTGTTGCATTAGGGGCATTGCCCTAATAACTTATTGCAGCATTAGCTTTCTCCAGCACTCTCTCCCTCCGTCCCTCACTCTGTCATTGTGTATGGCCTCACCAGGTTAGTGTGCTCCGCCAGCTGGTCTCTCGGGACTTCTCTCCTCTCGATGTGGTGATCCTGACCAGGCACAAGTAGGGGTGGCTGCTCTGTGGAAGACTGCTGGAGCTGAGGAGACACAAAGGGAAAGAACACACCACCCATTAGGTCAATACATTAGACACTGACCTCACCCATGAGAGAAGAGTACACCACCCATTAGGTCAATACATTACAGACACTGACCTCACCCATTAGGTCAATACATTACAGACACTGACCTCACCCATTAGAGAAGAGTATACCACCCATTAGGTCAATACATTACAGACACTGACCTCACCCATTAGGTCAATACATTACAGACACTGACCTCACCGATTAGAGAAGAGTACACCACCCATTAGGTCAATACATTACAGACACTGACCTCACCCATTAGAGAAGAGTACACCACCCATTAGATCAATACAATACAGACACTGACCTCACCCATTAGGTCAATATAGGGAATGACGTTAGTGACCCATCCTTATCCTCATCATTAATCTAGTGCATGTGAGGTCTCATCCACATGGCTTCCAATAGAAACACACTGTACAGATCACCGCTAAATGGACAACCACTTCTGGCCCATCTCAGCATCTGTACAGTTAGAAGTTCTAAACACAAACAAGCGACTTCACCAGAGTCATCTGCCCATGTAAACCCATAGGCTAAAACCCAGCAGAAAGGGACCTAACATTAAATGCAGAAGATGAGTGAGTATCGCTACAGAAGTGGTTCATCAAGCTGTGCTGAGCTGAGGGAAGAGCAGAGAGATCAAAGTGATAGTAGGGCTAGTGACCTGGGTGGGGCTGGTTTGGCTAGGAGGGAGATGGGTGTGGAGAGCTGAGACTGTTAATCACACACTGAATTAGAACCTGTGGGACATCTTCACAGTGCCTGTCCTTCTGAAGTGTTCTAGACTCACACAGATGAGCCTCATGTGACCCTGAGAAGTGTTTGTGTGTGTGTGTGTGTGTGTGTGTTGACCGTGAGAGAACATTTGTTTGAGACTTGCTCCACCTTTACAAAAATGCTTACATTCCCTGTCATACATCCAAAGACATGCCAGTAATTGATTGCTCACCTTGAGCTGCAGGTAGTTGATGGAGTGGTTGGTGGTGCAGTTGAGGGGTCCCTCAGTAGAGATCTCCAGGGGGTAGAGGAGACCCTTGCCCTGAACACTGAGAGGACAGCTGAGCTGCAGCACTGTGTGACTGATACCACTGGGACCTTTGTTCACCAGCTGACAGGGACAGGTGAGAGAATGAGGAGGAAGAGGGAAAGTAAGTAGAATATTACAAGAATATAACCCCCACCTAGTCTTTGCTCTGAAAAAATTAACCTGTTCTGGTTGATCCAGACCTCCAGGAAATTGAATGTTGTTGTGATGTCATCTAAACTTGAGCACTGTTTTTCTTCCTGTTCTGAGAAAGGTTGTCCGGTGGGATGTCTGACAACATGAGTCTAGGTTGTCCTTACAAATTGAGTTAGACTTGTAATGATGTAAGGCTCAAAACAAACCCCTGTGCTTCCTGGAATGTATTTCTTTCTTCTTTCACTTCTTTCTCATTTTACTTCTCTGCTTCCCCAGGAAGTAGTGTCTGTCTGGTGTGCTTCTACACAAAGGCCAGTGTCTGGGAAGTACTACCTGCTACTACAGACCTGCTAAAGGCCAGTGTCTAGGAAGTACAACCTGCTACTACAGACCTGCTAAAGGCCAGTGTCTGGGAAGTACTACCTGCTACTACAGACCTGCTAAATGCCAGTGTCTAGAAGTACTACCTGCTACTACAGACTTGCTAAAGGCCAGTGTCTGGGAAGTACTACCTGCTACTACAGACCTGCTAAAGGCCAGTGTCTAGAAGTACAACCTGCTACTACAGACTTGCTAAAGGCCAGTGTCTAGAAGTACTACCTGCTACTACAGACTTGCTAAAGGCCAGTGTCTGGGAAGTACTACCTGCTACTACAGACCTGCTAAAGGCCAGTGTCTGTGAAGTACTACCTGCTACTACAGACTTGCTAAAGGCCAGTGTCTGGGAAGTACTACCTGCTACTAAAGACCTGCTAAAGGCCAGTGTCTGCTGTATAGAACACTGTACTACATCCCGATGAGTCTGCCTGTCTAGCCGGCTGCTGGCCTCTGGTTCTGGCTGCTTACATTGAAAAAAGGGAATGTCCACTGATCGTTTTGATGCACTCCCCTTTTTCTACACATTGAATGTTCCGTTGGATCTTCCCACCCTAATCCCAACCTGCCCGACCCCAATCCCAACCCTCTGGCTCCTTACCTCATAGATGTGTTGGACTTCAGGCCCAATGTCCTGCTCCTCCTGGGGGGTCTTGGAGACCTTCCAGTTGGGGGGAGGGAAGAAGACCTTGTCTGGTCGGGAGACACTTCAAACAGAGAGAGAGAGCAGAGACAGTGAGCAGAGATAACGAGAGATAGCAGAGAGAAAGAGATAGCAGAGAGAAAGAGATAGCAGAAAGAGAGTGAGTGACTGTGTGTGTTCCAAAAGGTTTTCTAACACTGACAGAGATTACTCCCACCGCCGGACTTCCCTCTGAACTCACCCTTGTAAAATAACATCGGCCTGGACAACCACCTCCAGCTTGTAGGGCACCACCTCACTGTGGGAATTATTCTCATTTTTACTGTGGAAAGAGGGAGAGAGAGAGGGTGGTGAAGTATAGAAAACACACACTGATTGGCAACTATCTGGTAAGAGTGCCTTGGAATTTTTGGATGGTCTATATCCTACAAATTTAGCCTTCAATTATTTTGTCAATGACAAAAAAAACACATGTCCAGTTATAGTCCCAGTTCAAACATATGCTTAGAGAGGAGAGGTAACTGTGAGTCATACCTGCGGATCTGTAGCTCAAACTGAACCGTCTTGTGTGTGTCCTTCAGTCGTGGCACAGTGAAGCGCAGGCCTGCCCACAGCTGCAGATGAGAAGAAGCAACGTGGTCAAGGACTTCAGCCCCAACATGACGTAAAAGAGACAGAGGTACTAATGGCTAAGGGATGCTGCAACCAACAGATCAAAGCCAACCTTTTACACATACAGCACAGAGACAGTGAGCTGACTACAGCATACCAGGGGGCCCAGAGTTCCCACCAGGCTAACAGGACTTGCCTCTCCTCTTCTCTCCTTCCAATTCTGTTCTGTTCAGAGGTCAATCACTCAGTACTCTCTGTCTGTCTGCCTGTCTGTCTGTCTGGGTGGCACACAGCTGTAATACACCTGGGCCTGCAGGTCCAGATGGTCTGGGAGTTCCTGCTTACAGCATTCTGTTCTGCTGCCCTTTTCTCTATTGGAATGTCATGCCACTTTTATTTTCCATCCAAACCGCACGCACGTACAGCACAGTAATTGCAATCAGGAGGCCAGCGAGGTTAAAGCTTTTACTGTTTAACTGTGTGTGTGTGTAGTGTGCATGTGTGCACTGTTAAAACAATGAAAATACTGCTCATAAACATTCTGGTTTCTCCCTGGCTCAATGAATATATTAATCCATAACATCTGTCTGTATCTATGCAATTATGAATTATAACTAATCCACTCCAGGGACAAACTAGGCTAAGTATCATCAGTGCACACAATGTGTACTACAATGGATACTACAATGGGTACTACAGTGTGTACTACAATGGCAGGATCTATATATACATACATATATATATATATATATATATATATGTATATATAGATCCTGCCATTGTAGTACACATTGTAGTACATATATATATTTGATGCATACTAAAGTTTTTTAACTTCAGTTTACACTTGGAATGCAACCATTCTATCAGAATATGGGCGGCAGGTAGCTTAGTGGTTAAGAGCGTTGTGCCAGTAACCGAAAGGTCGCTGGTTCTAATCCCCGAGCCGACTAGGTGAAAAATCTGTCGATGTGCCCTTGAGCAAGGCACTTAACCCTAATTGCTCCTGTAAGTCGCTCTGGATAAGAGCGTCTGCTAAATGACTAAAATGTAAAATAAACCTTCTTAACCTCTCCACCAACGTCCACTTTACAGTCAGACACATTAAAAACCCACAGAAACCCGCAGGTCATCAGGAGGCAATCTCTGTTCAGCAGGGAAGGTAGACCAGCTTCCTGCTAACCGGACAGAAACTTCCTCTCTGAACACTGCTGTAACATGAAAAGAAAGTCGTTCCTGTCCAGTTCTCTACCCACCAACCCCTGGACGACACAACACAATCCCTTACTTCACACGAGAAAAAAGGGATTCTCTGCATAGCTCCGATGACTGTTTACTACCACTAAACAGATCTCAGAGGGCTAGCGTACTATTTCACCGGTCATCACCACTCACCAGAACCAATGAAGGATATTGCTTATGAGTAGGGCCAGGACCATGTGACCTAACCAGGAAAACCTGCTTGCCCTATTCATAATCAACACTCTTCAGAAAGGTCTTGAGTAGGACCAGGGCGGGAGTGTGACCTCATTCTGATTGAGACCAAGATGGCTGAAACGTCAATAATGTTTTCACTTCAAGAGCCAGAACTGCTCCTGTTTTCAACCCATGTGAGCTAACCAGCAAATACTCCTGGCCCCTCCTCATAACCAATACTTTCAGAAAGGGCGAGCAGAACCTAAATCCTTGACTTACGCTGGTGCCAGACTTCATGGGGTTGCCCAGGTCACAGCTGAGGTAGCGGGTCTGGTTCTCAGTCTCGTAGCTACAGGTCAGCTGGGTCAGGCTCTGGGTGAGAAAGAAGAGAGTTTGAGATTAGAACACAATAGAGAAGAAACATATTTACAATCTATAGACTCATTTGATCATTTAATCTTAATTTAAACAGGCTACTCTCAATTAGCTAAAATCTATTTTGCAAGATGACCTGTTCAAGATGGCAGCAGTCAAAAAGTTTCATAACTCAAGAACATTTGGTTCCATTTAGAGTTTTCATAACTTCCATAACAGTCCTGCTCCCAATAAATCTATCATTGCAAGTCTTATAAGCCAATAGACTGGGACCCTTGCATTACTCCATATCTAATAGTAATGCTGGGTTGAGCTGAATGTTTAGTATTTCCTCTCACCTCGTTATTGCGGGCTATACCGCTGTAGTCTGCTTCAGGAGGCAGCACCACATACAGTTCAGCCTCGTAGGCCCCACCTTCACCCTCGTTCCGTGCGTTGAAAGTCAAGGTCAGTGAGTTGTCGTCACCTAGGTACACTTCCTTCCTGTCCCTGATGGACCAACAAAACCAGAAATTGATTACTAATAGGGTCAGAGGTCAGGTCAAGAGGTGTCAGGTCTCTGTGGGTAAATAAGCACAGAGAGGTGGGAGAGAAATCTGTGAAAGCTTTGTGCACAGTGCACATAGTAGTTGGCAATAGCAGTGTCTGGCCACTAACATGTTTTGTTGCTATAGCCTGATACATTGTGCTTTGTCTCTTCCTCTTCCCTGTTCAGGCTTTGTGCTCTACATATCAGGCTGATTTAGAGCCGGGAGTCAGAACGGGACACAGCCCAAAACGCATTACTTAGATTCACCTCAGGAAACGCCCTCCCCCTTAAACCTTCCCCTTCCCTCCCCCTGCATCCCCCTCACACAAAACTTTTCCAATGTAGCAATAAAGTCATACATGCGATAGAGCACAGACCAGGACTTTAAAACACCTCCCCCTTCCCCTCCCTTCATCTCTCCCTCCAGCTCTCTCCCTCTATGAACACAATGAGAGAGGAATTCCATACAAGGGCCACACAGACACTTCTAATTACAGCTGAACTCATAAAACCAGGCAGCGAAGAAGCAACATGGGACCATATTTCAAACACTGATCTTCTGCTCGCCAGTCAGCCAGCATGCCAGCCTAGTGAGCCTCCAACAGCAAGCCAGCCTAGTCAGCCTCCTACAGCCAGCCAGCCAACCTCCTACAGCCAGCCAGCCTAGTCAGTCTCCTACAGCCAGCCAGCCTAGTCAGCCTCCTACAGCCAGCCAGCCTAGTCAGCCTCCTATAGCCAGCCAAGCCAACCTCCTATAGCAAGCCAGCCTAGTCAGCATCCTACAGCCAGCCAGCCTAGTCAGCCTCCTACAGCCAGCCAGCCTAGTCAGCCTCCAACAGCCAGCCAGCCTAGTCAGCCTCCTACAGCCAGCCAGCCAGCCTAGTCAGCCTCCTACAGCCAGCCAGCCTCCTACAGCCACCCAGCCTAGTCAGCCTCCGCCAGCCTAGTCAGATTCCAACTGCCAGCCAGCCTAGTCAGCCTCCTACAGCCAGCCAGCCTAGTCATACTCCTACAGCCAGCCAGCCTAGTCAGCCTCCTACAGCCCGCCAGCCTAGTCAGCCTCCGCCAGCCAGCCTAGTCAGCCTCCTACAGCCAGCCAGCCTAGTTAGCCTCTTACAGCCAGCCTAGTCAGCCTCCAACAGCCCGCCAGCCTAGTCAGCCTCCTACAGCCCGCCAGCCTAGTCAGCCTCCGCCAGCCAGCCTAGTCAGCCTCCTACAGCCAGCCAGCCTAGTTAGCCTCTTACAGCCAGCCTAGTCAGCCTCCAACAGCCAGCCAAGTCACCTTCCAACAGCCAGCCAGCCAGCCTAGTCAGCCTCCTACAGCCAGCCTAGTCAGCCTCTTACAGCCAGCCTAGTCAGCCTCCAACAGCCAGCCAGCCTAGTCAGCCTCTTACAGCCAGCCTAGTCAGCTTCCAACAGCCAGCCAGCCTAGTCAGCCTAGTCAGCCTTCAACAGCCAGCCAAGTCACCCTCCAACAGCCAGCCAAGTCACCCTCCAACAGCCAGCCAGCCAGCCTAGTCAGACTCTTACAGCCAGCCAGCCTAGTCAGCCTCCTACAGCCAGCCTAGTCAGCCTCTTACAGCCAGCCTAGTCAGCCTCTTACAGCCAGCCTAGTCAGCCTCCAACAGCCAGCCAAGTCACCTTCCAACAGCCAGCCAGTCTAGTCAGCTCCCTACAGCCAGCCTAGTCAGCCTCTTACAGCCAGCCTAGTCAGCCTCCAACAGCCAGCCTAGTCAGCCTCCAACAGCCAGCCAGCCTAGTCAGCCTCTTACAGCCAGCCAGCCTAGTCAGTGTCCTACAGCCAGCCTAGTCAGCCTCCAACAGCCATCCAGCCTAGTCAGCCTCTTACAGCCGCCTGCCTAGTCAGCCTCCAACAGCCAGCCAGCCTAGTCAGCCTCTTACAGCCAGCCTAGTCAGCCTCCAACAGCCAGCCTAGTCAGCCCCCAACAGCCAGCCAGCCAGCCTAGTCAGCCTCTTACAGCCAGCCAGCCTAGTCAGCCTCCTACAGCCAGCCTAGTCATCTCTTACAGCCAGCCTAGTCAGATTCCAACAGCAAGCCAGCCTAGTCAGCCTCCTACAGCCAGCCAGCCTAGTCAGCCTCCTACAAACAGCCAGCCTCATACAGCCAGCCAGCCAGCCTAGTCAACCTCTGCCAGCCAGCCAGCCTAGTCAGCCTCCGCCAGCCAGGCTAGTCAGCCTCCAACAGCCAGCCTAGTCAGCCTCCAACAGCCAGCCAGCCTAGTCAGCCTCCAACAGTCAGCCAGCCTAGTCAGCCTCCTACAGTCAGCCTAGTCAGCCTCCAACAGTCAGCCAGCCTAGTCATCCTCCTACATTTACATTTTAGTCATTTAGCAGATGCTCTTATCCAGAGCGACTTACAGTTAGTGAGTGCATACATTTTTTTATTTACATTTTTTTATACTGGTCCCCCGTGGGAAACGAACCCACAACCCTGGCGTTGCAAACGCCATGCTCTACCAACTGAGCTACACGGGACTATAGCCTCCTACAGCCAGCCAGCCTAGTCAGCCTCCTACAGCCAGCCAGCCTAGTCATTCTCAAATTGCCAGCCAGCCTAGACATCCTCCTACAGCCAGCCAGCCTAGACAGCCTCCTACAGCCAGCCAGCCTAGTCAGTCTCCTACAGCCAGCCAGCCTAGTCAACCTCCTACAGCCAGCCAGCCTAGACAGCCTACTACAGCCAGCCAGCCTAGTCAGCCTCCTACATCCAGCCAGCCTAGTCAGCCTCCTACAGCCAGCCAGCCTAGTCAGCCTCCAACAGCCAGCCAGCCTAGTCAGCCTCCAACAGCCACCCAGCCAGCCTAGTCAGATTCCAACAGCCAGCCAGCCTAGTCATTCTCAAATTGCCAGCCAGCCTAGTCAGATTCCAACAGCCAGCCAGCCTAGTCATTCTCAAATTGCCAGCCAGCTTAGTCAGCCTCCTACAGCCAGCCAGGCTAGTCAGCCTCCTATAGCCAGCCAGCCTAGTCAGCCTCCAACAGCCATCCAGCCTGGTCATTCTCCAACTGCCAGCCAGCCTAGTCAGCCGCCTACAACCAGTCAGCCTAGTCAGCCTCCTACAGCCAGCCAGCCTAGTCAGCCTCCTACAGCCAGCCAGCCAGCCTAGTCAGCCTCCTACAAACAGCCATCCTCCTACAGCCAGCCAGCCTAGTCAGCCTCCGCCAGCCAGCCAGCCTAGTCAGCCTCCGCCAGCCAGCCAGCCTAGTCAACCTCCGCTAGCCAGCCTAGTCAGCCTCCGCCAGCCAGTGACACTTTGCTTCTTGAAAGTCCAATATCTTGAAAACTTGACTGCTGACATGCAAAACATTTTGGGACTGTATCAAGTGGACTAATTAAAAAAATACCAAAATAGTTTGAGTGGATTTTCCCTTTAAATATAAAACAATGGACAAGGATATGTCTCGGATACATTGCTGGGAATTTCATAATTTAGTCTTTGCCCCGAGCTACTATTATACAAAGTATTCAAATTAATGCAGCACTATCATCTAACTGCCAAAGACAGCCAGAGGCAAGTTAATGCATTATTATGACTTTCCTCAACTGAATTCACTTATTAAAACTGATCATTACTTGAATGGACTTGTTTATGTGATAGAAGACTAATGAAGAATTGGAATTAGCACACAAACAAATATAGAAATGTGAAATTAAAATGATAGGGCAGAAAGAGAGCAAGAGGGTACGTTATTTTTGAGAAAAATGCCCACAGATCAAAGTGTGTCGATGCTCTGAATACTACTTCCAACGATTCGAGAGGGAGGCTGGACCTGGTTGGCACACACACAACTCCCTTCCCACGTTCCAAACAAATCTGTTCCATCCCTCCTGTCTTTTTCCCCCACCAGCTTGACAGCCAATCCCTGTACCTGTAGACCAGCGCTCCTTCCTGTTTTCAAAGCAGAGTAGTATCCTCTGCTAGTGGAGCATTGTTGGGCTATTAACAGACTAGCTAAACTTAACAAACGGGTGGAGCATGACACAGCTTTACTAAGAACAACAACAAGGCCGACTTCTTCTGCATAGTGGGGTGAAAAGTTCACTTACTACAACCCGGCTCACAGTTGACCGTACATAGCTATATTCTCCTGATCCAGTGGATGTCCTGAGCTGTGTATGGTCTAGGACTTCTAGAGAAGGAAATGAAGGGACTAACTCACCCGTGCACTGCCAGCTTTAAGTCAGGAACACAGATGTTGTCTTCTCCACAGTCCAGCAGAATCTGGGCCTAGAGGAGGGAAGAAGATGAGAGCTTATACAGGATCACACATGCCCTGTTAAAAATGAGGCCTACACTTCTTTCAATTAGAGTTCACACAGAGAATTAGATACACTTTGCTTTCGTGGTAAGCATACAACAGAGCGACTGTAGTGGGACGGGACATGTCATGTAGCCAATAATGACTAAAACATTCCAGTCCAACCCTCAACCTCCCACCGCCCCCTGAGTAGAGTGTCATTATCACAGACCAGACACCTGTAGTAATCCTGTTAACAGTCTTATCTTCCGGGGAATGTTAAAGACTGTATGACTGTGTGATGAAACAAATAATGCTAATTCAGCCCCATGTCTGACTTCACTTCCTTTTTGAGGGAAATGGCTCAATAATAAGGCAGGAGAAGCTCAACACCACATCTGACTGTGTGTTGAAAACCCTCTCTTAAACCCTCTCTCTAGCCTGGGACACAGAGGTACAAACTTTAGAGAGAAACTCTCCAGCTCTGCAGAGACTACCATCCCCCGGTTTCACACCTCTGGCCCTGGCTACTACTTGGGCCCTTCCAGAACTCTCTCCCCTGGCTAGAGTCATATGACCCCGTCAGCCAATCACAGGCTGTACCTGGTGGGGATCTTAAACCCCCAACACAGTCTGTGCTTTAGTTGGACCCAGGGGTGCAGAGAGACAACAGGTCAGAAGAACTCTGCACCACCTCAACTCATTTCTGGACCTTCTACATGGACAATCCTGCCTCTAGACATTCCCAAACAGTGTTCGTGCATCTTTGACTGTAAAACCACTGTACACTATTCACCACAACACTTCCAGTAGTCTATCCTCCTTCTTGTTTGCAGTGCGTGTCTGATTCAGCTCCAAACTTCGGCTTGCCTCTAGAAAAAATGTTGTGTGCCCGAACAGCTGAAAAAACCCTCACTGAAGTCCAAAACGAACAGAAACGTCACAAAATGTTGTCATAATATATGCACAAACACTTCTGAACTGTTTCAGCTGGGAAGCATGCTGACGCCTTTATGTCGGGGTAATCTAGAGGCCTAGAGAGACATGAACTAAGCAGGAAAGGGTGCAATAACCACTGAACGTGTGTGTGTAGTGGGAACTAGCCCAGGCTTGGCGTAGGTAATAGTTTCCCTGTGTGATTCCATCACAGTGTGATGATCATGATGCTTTAGATGACGATGAGGATAATACATAGAAGTGGATGGAGATTAGAAAGAACTCAGCGCCTCCTCTGTCATTACACAGCCAGGGCTTCTAATTAAGGGAAAGCAGGGTTACCATAGTAACCACCAGCTCACTCACTCTGCCCCCTCAGTGTGTGCTGCATGGCCGACAGTCAGACCCAGTCAGTCAGGGAAAAAGTTACACGTTCCTATCCTCGCTGAAGCTAAGCAATAACAACTGACAGTGCCCCGGCTTCACGGCAACATGTGGAGCACATTACAGAGAAACTATGAAACTATACAGAGAGGCATCAGTGAGCTCTCACTCAGCAACCAGAGGGTGTGAGAACTGTGGTAAGCCACAACAGCCAGCCCAGTACATACGATGCCATATGGTGAAATCCAAAATAAAGTATGATGCATGTGATTAAATCCGGGGTGTAGTCAGTAATCACCCCCTACATGGTGTTACATTCACACTGGGTATCCATGATTAATGAAATATGTCTGCAGTTTTACACTACTAAAGCACCCCCCCCTTTCATCATAGACACACATGGATTATTCAGTTGTCCTTACACACACATACATCATAGACACACATGGGTTATTCAAGTCCTACTCTGAAGGTTAGTTTCAGTACTACTACTACAACAGAACTTTTAGAGTTCAGTATTTAGATGTAGTGTAAGAACAACACAGCACATCTGATGAGGCCCCAGCAGCTTTGATACAACAAGGAGACACCAATGACAGGGCTCAGTCCTGCCCTGCTCAGAGAGAGAGACAGAAATACAGAGAGAGAGAAATACAGAGGGTGAGGGGAAGGCAGAGAGAGAGAGAGAGAGAGCGAGAGGTTGTGGCTACTGTGTCTGGCTGCGTGGAAAGTAATCCACGGATACTCTGTGCCACAAAACCCGGACAGATAATTTCAAGTCATCAGTCTCAAGTCTCAAGTTATTTTATTTTCTATTAAGTTGAGTCTCAAGTCATCAAATTTGTGACTCGAGTCAGAGTCCACAACTCTGACATATGGTGCAGCATGCCACAGCTGAAGGCAGGCAGCCCACACGTTGAGCCCTTCTCACGTCTCTCTCCCTCTCCGTGCATGCCAGGAGAAAACTGGAAAAATTCAGACAAATCTACACCAGATGGCACATGGCCTGTGTGCTGCTAGCAAAGCACCCCATTGGCCCAACCCAGAAATATCTATTAACCCTGTGTGTCGGAGTCTGACTGTGCACCACTCAGTCGGAACACGACTCTTATGAACCGTTACACAGCCTAGCTGGGCTGAAAGCTGAAAGCAGCTATTCCTGGAGGGGCAGTCAAACTCTAACTCTCTCTCCACCATAGTGCGCACATGCCTCAAATGTCTTCTGTTGAAAACTGCTTTCCAGACCCTCTGGACCCCTTCCCAGCAGAGCAGTTTGGAAATCAAAAAGGAGAGCAGCCTGAGTCTTTCTGAGGGCGTGTTTGGGGGAGAGAGGGAAGGAAGGGGGTGGTCTGGTCAAGGTGAAAACATTACCATCAGCTCTGAGTGACTGAATGGATTTCCAGCCACGTCTTTCACTACGTCTTGTTCATTAAAACATGTGCAGTGCTCCACCACCAGAGATACAGTGGCTGTTAACTCAGAGGAGTCCTCCAGGGTTGGAGTGCTGTGCTGGGGGTCAGACAGAAAGGAGGGAGGGGGTGCTGTGCTGGGGGGTCAGGAGTGCTGCGGGGGTGCTGTGCAGGTCATATTTAGACAGAGAGGGGGTGTATTGAAGTACCTTCTGCTCGATGAGCTCAGTGGTCTGGTAGTTAAGGATGGGTCTGAGGCCGTGGGAGTCAAACGCTGCCTGAGGATCCAGGCTGAAGTTGAGGGAGATGTAGATGGAGGAGAGCTTATCTCTGAACTCCTTGTCATCCTGGAGTCAGAGAGAGAGAGAGAGAGAGAGAGCGAGAGAGCGAGAGAGCGAGAGAGAGAGAGAGAGAGAGAGAGAGACAGAGAGAGAGAGCGAGAGCGAGAGCGAGAGCGAGAGCGAGAGAGAGAATGATAGAGAGGGTTCATCTGAGTGAGTGAGTGAGTGAGTGAGTGAGTGAGTGAGTGAGTGAGTGAGTGAGTGAGTGAGTGAGTGAGTGAGTGAGTGAGTGAGTGAGTGAGTGAGTGAGTGAGTGAGTGAGTGAGTGAGTGAGTGAGTGAGTGAGTGAGTGTCCGTCTAGCCGGGACTAACCCTCAGGTAGATCTTGGTGTCGTAACACACATGCTCTCCGTTCTTCACTCTCACACTCCTCTGAAGCACTGCCTGCTGGGAGTCCACAAACAGAGCCCTCTTCACCGCTCCCATCTGCTTGTGTTTCAGACGGTCCAACTGCACCTCTACCTGGAAGTCTGTAACACACAAACGCACACAACCATGAATGTGCTATCGTTTTACACACCATCACATTCAAACAAATGTGCATACTTTCTAGCGAATAGAGAATCCAGACTATGTAGTTAGTTTACCATATGGCACATAGCAGAGTAACCATATGCATAGAGGGCTGATTAGTGGAATAATTCCTGGGGTTGTGTATGAGCAAAGAGGAGCCTAGTGCTTTGATTGGAACTCATTAAAAGTGGATCAGAGCAGATATGGGGATTCTGGAAGCCTGACACTGCTCCTCATCACTGTCACAATACAATGCAACACAAAGCATCGACAAAGTAATTCAACATACACAATGTTGTGCAATAACTTGTTAACATAAATTGATATTTGTGTGCAATTGAGAGTTTGTAATATGGTATTGTATGTAATCTGGATCGATGTGAACAGTTGGCTCACCTAGGTTGTCTGGTAGGTACTTCCCATTGGCAGAGAGGCAGAAACTCAGGTTGACACTGTTTAGAACAGAGGAGAGACATAACAGAGACATGATAAGGGAAGCATTCATGGCACAAAGTCAACATACATGCAAACACACAGACAGCTCACTCATTCACGCTCTTCCTCCCATACTTCCTCTTCCTCTCATATCCGTCTTCAGATGTCTAACAAAAGTGGTATAATAGACAAGTGGTATAATAGGTAACACTGTATGATATGAAGGAATGGCTAGTCATGTGGGTAATGTTAGGAAAGGCATCTCTATGCTGTAGCCAGCCAAGTCAATAACGTGGCGTGTCCCCCCATCCCCAGCTCTCCAGCCTGGAATGGCTGAATTAAAGAGGGTGAAATTGAGCATCATCTCATATATCCCCACAGGCAGGACAGTCAGTCAGTCAGTGTCTGTATCTATAAGGGCTCAGATCTCTCTCTCGCTCTCTCTCCCATGACATCAGCCACAGATTCCAACAGTCAGCAACGCAAACCCAAGCCCTTTACAACCAAACCCACACTGACTGGAAAGAAATAGGGAGGGAGAGAGGGAAGGAGAGAGGGAGGGAGAGAGGGAAGGAGGGAGGGAAGGAGAGAGGGAAGGAGAGAGGGAGGGAGAGAGGGAAGGACAGAGGGAAGGAGAGGGGGAGGGAGAGAGGGAAGGAGAGAGGGAAGGAGAGGGAGGGAGGGAAAGAGGGAGTGAGAGAGGGAAGGAGAGAGGGAAGGAGAGAGGGAAGGAGAGAGGGAGGGAAAAAAGGGAACAAGAGACATTGTTGATAGAATACAAGGGAAGGAAGAAATAAAAGAGAATGAAATAGACATGTTCTCTGTATCTATCACTCTAGAGAAATCACTCTATTGTGCTCCTGTGTCTCTGTTTGTGTAGGAGTGTGTGCATGCGCATGAGCATCTCCCCATCCTGATGTTTCCCAGCTGTGTTCCACCACCAAACAATAACTCATTCAAAAGCCACTGGCAAACTTCCTGACCCCTCCCTCCCTCAATCTCTCCCCTCTATCCCTCCTTCTCTCCACCCCCACCTACATCCCACCATCACCTGGCAACGCAGCGTAATCAAGACGTGTGTATACAACAGTTTCCTTCATGGAGAGAGGGGGGGGGGAGCAACAGACACACCAACACAGTGTCAAGCATGTTGAGCAGCACAGCCAGAGATCAGAGCAACGCTGTTCTGTTCTGTTTCCGCTCCCATTGGATGCTAATGAATACCATGCAGCACATTCCAACAAACGAAAAAATGGCCTTATTCTGGATATTGTTTCACTTTCACTGCTCCTCTCGAAGAAACAGAATCTGTTAGGAAGTTGCTATATCAACAGGTCATCACCACCAGATAAGACTGACTGTCTTCCAAATAAATAACATGATTAGTCTTGTGGAGTGATACAGTATGTCCTCAATGGGACTTCCTGTCTAAGTACAACTGAGTGCTAGTGTTGAGCAACGCCAAATGTAAATCAAGCAGCTGTTAGACCACAACCCCCTTAGATAATGGAGTCTGGGTCTGTATTCACAAGCAGTCTTAGAGTAGGGGGTGCTGATCTAGGATCAGTTTACCCTTTTAAATCATAATGAATAAGATAACATGGACAGGGGGACCTGATCCTAGATCAGCACTCCTACTCTGAGACACTTTATAATACAGGCCCTGGAGACTAGACAAGTACTCAACATGACACAGGTATGATGCCGTACTTACCAGGAGACCGGTATGATGCAGTACTTACCAGGAGACCGGTATGATGCAGTACTTACCAGGAGACCGGTATGATGCAGTACTTACCAGGAGACCGGTATGATGCAGTACTTACCAGGAGACCGGTATGATGCAGTGCTTACCAGGAGACCGGTATGATGCATTACTTATCAGGAGACAGGTATGATGCAGTGCTTACCAGGAGACAGGTATGGTGGTGTTGCCGTTATTGACTGAACAACTCTTCTCCTCAGGGTTGATCATTGTGGGGTAGACGGTCAAGGAGGCACTGGTGCTGACGATGGGCCGGGATCTGTGGTACAATAGATGGGAGTAGAGGCCGAAGTTACATATGATACAGGCACACCTTTGGGTAAACCTCTTAACTCAACACTTATAAAAAATCCCTCAATAGTTTGACAGATATAGAAGGTTATGAGTGAAATGAAATTACCTGTACAAAATTGCCTTGTCAACTCCAAAAGCACCAACAATAAGATCTGTTGTGAAAAGACATTTCTAGTTCATGGACTACAAGTAAACAACAAGTACACAGTATAAGCACACTCAGCACTATGAGAGATGTTTTTAAAAGCACTGGTCTTGTCACTCACCTGGGTAGCCATTCATGTCCAGATCCTTAGCCCCTCGGAGTGCGAATCCAAAGCTGGCGGGCACTGTGCCTGAAGCCCATTGGCCAGCTATGACCTGAGAGGGCATGTCCCTGAGCCCACCGGCGAATCCGTTGTAGATGAGAACCAATCCCTGCTGGTCCTCTCCACCGAACGGACAGCTGATGGCCACATCTACCAATCAGAGAAGAGAGAGCAGGAGAAGACCGTGAGATCACTCAGAACTTTACAGACTACTAGGACTTTTCATGAACTACATGAGACCAACAAAAACTACATGTAGTAGTCTCAAAACCAATAACCTGACACACGAACGGTCCATAATAATAATAAATAATAATATGCCATTTAGCAGACGCTTTTATCCAAAGCGACTTACAGTCATGCGTGCATACATTTTTTTTGTGTATGGGTGGTCCCGGGGATCGAACCCACTACCTTAGCGTTACAAGCGCCGTGCTCTACCAGCTGAGCTACAGAGGACCATAAGAGAGAAAGTTTCACTTTTCTGTCCCTTAAAGCCCCAGTATTACCACCACACCTCTCACCATTGTATCCGTCCTGGTTGAGGTCTCCCAGAGGTGCGATGGTGCTGCCAAACCTCCCGAACACCTGTGTCCCGGTCAGGTTGAGAGTTGGCTCCAGGTCCAGGGGACGACGCTGCAGATAGAGGTACACACGGCCCACCTCCTCCAGGCGGCTGTCTGACCCTCGGGTCATGTACATGGGAGCTCCCACCAACAGGTCAGACATGCTGAGGGGAGGAGAGAGAAACACACGGTCACAGACATATACATTGTACAGACTAATGTGGCAAATTCAAGAAGCTCTCCTAAAATTCCCAGGTTTTCGAGAAATCTGGGAATTTCTGGATTCTTTCAAAGCAATTTCTCAACCCTAGTACAGACACAAAAGACAGAGATTTCCCACAAAAGTAGTCATTGGTCAGAAAACCACTTTCGCCACCACCCATGTCATTAAAAAGGGTGAGAACGCCACTATTTTAGCTGTGTGAGAACTGACTCCTACTCACCCTTCATTATTGATGTTGACTGAGTTTTCCCATAACATTTGTGGTCACAAATGTCCCATAACATTGTTGGATAAATTCAATCTTGCCACCACCCAGCTCATGGGTGAGAACATACTGTATGAGAATGTTTCATTAGAATGTTTTCGACTCTTAGAGAACTCACCCGTCGTTATTGATGTCGGCAGTGGCCACAGTATACCCAAAATAGGAGCCCATCTGAGAAAAACATCAGCAGAGTGCATCATGTCACATTTCTAGAACATCACTATCTATCTGAGTTCAAAAAGGCTCAAAATAGAAAAGCTGCTTTTAAGCAAAGGGACTTTAACATTAATGACAGTGAATCTACTTGAATTAAGAGAGATCCTGTAGAAGAGACGAGATGGTCAATGAAAAGTGATGGTGCTTGCTTGGTCTAACTTTAAGCTGTTTTTGTTACAGGCTGACCAGACCACCCGCGATGCAAAATAAATGTACACATACATGTTATTCAATCATTGCACCCACACTGCTCATGCGCTTCAACGAGCGTCTGCGTAGCCAGGCGTTAAAATAGAACTTGGTTCTATTTGTGACGCTTAATGCACTGCAAGTCCCGCCTCTCCCATCTCCTCATTGGTTTTTAGGAGCATATACCCACGTGGGTGATCGAAGGATGAACGGAAGTCCACACTCCAGACCAGTTGGTGGTGGTAATGCGCTTAAAATTGGTTGCCAACCGACATATCAAGTCCAAAGAAGAAGAAGAAGCCTGAAGGAGGAGAGACCTAGAAACTCACTCGGTTTACCCTTTTAGCTGTGGATTAATTGTTGGAGTAGAGGACCTTGTGCATTTCAGGTAAAATAACGACCCAATGTTTATATCCCAGGACAAATTAGCTAGCAACAGCAAGCTAGCTAGCTAAATTGCCATACATGTGTAATGGTTTTCGACCTGTCCCGAAGTTAATATAGTTGGTTCAGAGTTTGTTTTGATATTTCAACCTGCGTGTCCTGATCGCGTCTGGTGTGGGTGGACAAAATCAATATGCGCACACAGACGCATGCGCATGCGTGGTCTGGTCAGCATGTTAGTCTTTTTTGTCATGTCTGTATAACACATTTTTATCTGAAGTAGCAAAGACACAGAAACAGCTTAATTCCCAGACTCCCAGGGTAAGCAAATACACTTATGATTTTATTTATTCAGCTGAACCAATCAGCACCATTAAAAGGGGCTCACGCTATTTCCATTCCATTTGCAGAAAGAATCATGCTGCTCATTTGGAGAAAATTGCTTCTGCACTTTAACTTCAATAATTATGCTTTACAGCAAACCACAGATGGCTTGAAACCCAGTTAACAGAAACTTGTAAAGGAAATGATTATACTTATATCATCAGTGTTCCTGACTAAGGAAATTAAGAGTTGCCACGAGAAACAGAAACAGCTAGTTATGGAACCGCAGAGTCTGTCTGAAAAAAACGTTTCGAGTTTGAGATTAGGTTTTTGGCTCACCTGTTCGCCAGTGTAGTTGAGCATGGACTTCAGATCAGTGGCATTTAAAATAGACACCTGCAGAGAGCAGACACACACAGAGAACATATGGTCAAAATCCCTGAGGTCCAACATATGTATAGTGTATTAGGCCTGTGTTACGATATACACTATACGGTGATGAGGTTTTCTTACCAAACCATAGAGCATGACCCCTTTTGGGACCCCAGCCACAACATCTGAGAGGTGCACAGACAGGGGGAAAACAGAGAAAAAAAGGGAAGATTTAGGAGGGGAAATATCACAAAGGTCATAGCCGTCTGGAACTCCAGCGATCGCAGTCTTTCAAGCTTAGTAGCAGGACAGAATCGTGTAGGTGAGTTCAGTTTGAGTTCACTTCAGGTATAGTAAACATTCTGAACCCTTTAATGGCTGTCTGACGTGCAGCCAGGCCTGTGGAAGTCTGTGGTACAGATGTCTTTACCTTCCACGTCATCTCCACTGAATTCCCCAACCGCAACAGAGTAACCTGCAAGGCCGCAAGAGAGAGCAAACATTAGTCATATGATATCAAGCATTCAGAACCCATAGACCTCCATTACTCTTAAAGCGTAATCTATGGATAAAGGCATGTACTTTGAACAATTCTGCATCTATCCACCTTTTATCAGAGGTCAGAGGGATTGTGGTGACGTTTCCAAATCATAGCTCTCAGGCTCAAGTAGCCTACACAGGAAACCAGCATTTGTAAAAAGCAAGGGGATCAGGAGAGTGATAGAATTACGAGAAAGGAAAGTTGTACCGTGGTAGCTGTCGTCATATTTGATCTGAGCCTGTCTGGTCTGGGTCTGTCCCTCCACAGACTGCATGAAGTACCCTGGGTAGTAAGCCTTGATTATCTCCTCTTTGGCTGCTGAGATCACCTGACCTGAGGAGAAGCAGGAAGTGAATGGAAAGTTTCCCTCAGGTTTCACACAATTAACTTCAGAATACTGCTACAACTTATTTGGTTGTGGTCCAGGGGGGGGTTGTCAAACCCTGTACCTTGCCAGAAGAAGCTGCCTGGTCCTCCAAGTACCACTTTCCCATCCTGAGAGCAACAGCGAGAGTAAGTCAGAATCATGAGAGAGATCATGTGTGTTTGCAATCCATAGTATTTGATAAAGCTCTGGTACTGAACTGAGAAGAAGTGTTTAGGAGTCTTACCTTGGTGAAATCAGCACTGAATCCCCCCTGACAGTAGCCCTGACCACCCTCGTTAATGAATTCTGAAATAAACAGAGGTAGAGGTTCATAAATCAGTTTTAGACAGGAATGTTTCCGATTTCAAAAAGCATTTTTAAAGATCCATAAATTTCCTCACATTAAACCAATACTTTAGAATGCAGATATTTTAGAAATATTTTTGAACCTTGACGTGATGGCTCAACTGGGTATTGTGAACAGAACCAAGCCAGCCAGTCATTACCAGCAATAGGGATACACTTGGTCAATACGGGCTAACATGATTGACTGCATCTGATGAAGGTACATTCTTTCTCCACAGCTAGTGTGTGATGTCTCTGGAAGTGGTTACTCAGTAGGGGTACTTGAGACTATATACATGCCTTCTGTTGTGGCCTTCAGGCACAGCACTTAACCCCTGTATAATAGCCTGCTGTGTGGACAGCTGCTGAGTCAGAGGTAGGCCACAGGAGTCACCTGTAGTGTGGGGTAGTGGGGTAGTCGGTCGGCAGAGAAGAGCATTAGAAAGATGTCTTTGTGAAAAACAAAAAAGGATTACCTGTGCGACAGGGAGCATATTCCACAAACTTGGTGAAGTTCTTGACAGAGAGGTAGCAGGTTCCTGTGGCATCTGACTGGGGCATGTCTTTTTTGGTTCTCCAGGAGTAGAGGGGGGCGCAGGCCTATAGAAGGGGTGGGAGGGGGTAGAGGTGGGAGTTGTTTTTTCAGTTACAACAACACCCTGTTTAACTCGATGGAGACCCAGAGAGAGGTTAATGTTACATCTGAAGCAAAGTAACAACATAACCAAATCCAGGTCATGTCCCTCACAATCAGAAAAAAAAACTACAGGCGTCTAAACTTCAGTGTCACAGGAGCACAAAACACTTCTCCTCTGAGAGACACAGTGGAGGTGAAAATTGGAATAGAGTCACAACAAACCGATAGACAAAGACCTTTAAGACAAACTTTGAACAATGAACATATACAACCCCTTGACATGAAAGACAGACATCATAACAGTTGAGGGACTCTGAGCTATAGAGACCAAAGTTGAAAGGAAACTGACTTTCTCCACTCCGTCTCAGTCTCTGAGTGTCGTCTTACCAGAATGGTGTCTCCGTGGGAACGGACGGTGGCGCCGAACCACTGGTGGGACTTGACTTCAGCCTGGTAGTCTATGTCATTGAGAGTGACTTTGCGGTCCCCTGGGAAGAAGACAAAACAACAACTAAACTGAGTGATGACTGAAAAAAGCCCCTAATTAATCATTGTAGTTCTTCTCCTGGAGGCTCCAGACAACGTCATCCAAACATCTGTTACTACAGGACTTACATACTGCATCATTAAACACAAACACACATCAAGTTTCTCATGAAGAACCTTCCAGAGAGAAACATCTAGGAAAACTAGAAGGTATTTGGTGCTCAACAGAGCCTTATATCCCTCATTATGGCTCTGGTCCTCACTGTTCAGATGTCAACCTGAGTTCTCTGGCCCTGGGTGACCACACTGACCCTGGCTCTGTTTGGCCACCTGGCCTGTAACCCAGAGTTCTACTCCATCGCTGTCTGTCTGAGACCGAAATGGCACCATATTCCCTATATAGCGCACTACTCTTGACCAGAGACGCAGCCTCTGTGACAGGACAGGAGCAAGTGACAAGACAGATGGCCTGAGGAGTCAGGTTCAAACAGGTTCAAACAGGACGTTTTATTGGCAAGACTGATGCAACATCTGTGTTGGCGTGGTGAGAAACGAAATCCAAACAGATCGGTTTATACAGTTCACATACCGTGAAACATCCTTTAACAAGTATTCTAAACGCTTGGAATTCGGACAACAAGACGTATCCAGTGGAACTTGTACCCAGCATTCTTGATAGCTAAACCACAAGTGTTGCAACAGAGCCGTATCTATCTGTCGGGGAAGGGGGCCTGTTGGTGTGAGCCAGAGGTTGTGACCTGTGGATGTGAAGAAAGCAGGCTGTGTGTCAGCCGCCTCCTCCACGCCAGCCCTGAGCTCTGGGTGAGGGCCTGCTCTTCTCCGTGTCTTGGTGGAAGGAAGGAAGGAAGGAAGGAAGGAAGGAAGGAAGGAAGGAAGGAAGGAAGGAAGGAAGGAAGGAAGGAAGGAAGGAAGGAAAGAGGAGGGGGACTGTGTCCAAGGAAAACAAACGCTCTGGCTCTGTTTCTTCCTAGCAACCTCTCAGGCATGCATCTCTCTCGCATGCATTCCCTCTCCACCTCCCCTTTCTCTTCATCCCTTTGTCCATCACTCTCTCGTTCTCTCTGTCCCTTTTTCTTCCCCTTCTCTTCATCCTTCTCTCAGGGGGTTTGTTCTCCCCCTGGCCTCCCCCTGGTCTCCCCCTGGCCTCCCCCTGGTCTCCCCCTGGTCTCCCCCTGGTCTCCCCCTGGCCTCCCCCTGGCCTGGAAGGAAAGCAGTGGGGATTAGGGTCCTTTAATAACATCACAGTAGATTTACCGTATCCCCATCACCAGGCTTCCCCTCCAGCATTACTCATGGGCTCACAGCACCCCTGTTCCCTACCGTAATACATGTGTGCACCTCCATCGTGTGGGGAAAGACACGCTTTAGCAATACCACAAATAACATGCCTAACACATTAAAAATATCTAAGAGGCTTGTTTCTTTAACTGCACTGCAATAATCTGCACTACATACTTCCCAGTCCCTCTCCCTAAAGTATGCTTTCCTCCTATTTTCATAACTCAGGGGCATTTGTTTTGATAAAGTGAGGGGGTGACACTGAGGTGACATGCAAGCCAAACAGGACTGTGTATTTGGGACACACTACCCCGGAAACCATGAGTATCAGCAGGGAAAGCCATCTATTATTCACGTTTCAGAACTATAGTAGACAGATTCTTCTCGACCACCTGGTCATGGTAAAACAGAAAATGACATCTCTACAGTTATGTCAATGACATAATCGCTATGTTCAGAGCCCAAGACTATCAGAGTCTTAACTCCATACAGAACTGACTTTGGGGTGTTCTCTAACTTCACTTCTCACTGAGCTGCTGTGCTCTGAGCTCCGTGTCTGTCACTGCTCTTATTGTCCATGTCAGAGACGCTACATTGGCGTTCATACAGTGTGACGGATGGAAAGATGAAAAGATCAGTAGGTTAAGAGGCAGTACAAGCCAGACAAACAAGGCTTTGATACAAACAAGAGAGAGAAAAACCCAGCAGACGCTTGTGGCAATAACATGTCATGTAACGTCCTTTCAGTGAACTTGGGTAGACTTTGGTAGGAGTGTTGATGTGACTAGAGCCCATCTACCCCTCTCTCTCCTGGGACAGGACAGCAGAGGGGTGGGGTGGGGTCTGGAGTGTGTCCACAGACTCTCCCCTTTGAACTTTGCGAGAGGAGACCCATTAGAGGAGTATCCTGGGTTAGAGTGCGGTCAGAGTCAAATGGCCAAATTCACTCATCACATTAGCTGGCCCTGGGGGAGTTACTGGTGGTAGGGGAAGATTGTTCAGAGATGGAGACAGGGCTCTGATTTCCCCCTGTCCCTCTCTCCCTCCCTCAGATCCCTGGGCTGTCTCTTCTTATCGCATTGGCAGGGGAAGTGGAGGGGGAGGCCTCTTGGTCAGGCTCAGGGAAGACCTCACCCACACTCAGGGGATCCCTGAATAATGTCACAAAAACAGACACACCTCTCATATAAAGGGTCAATACTAATACATTACCGGTATAATATCTACCACAGTTAGCTGAGCTCTAGCCATGTCATAACCAAATAAGGAAAACATATTTCCTTTGTCATACAGACAGAGGTGCTATGTTCTTGTATGCCGGCCCAGATGGCGGAATTGGCTCTTCCTCACAAATCAAATGTGCGCCTTCAAAGCCCATTAAGTAAAATGAAGGACACACTGTCCAAAACCCCAAGGGACTATCCTTCACCCCAACGCCCTGCTGCTTGCTGCACATTACATCGCTGTGACAATCATGGCCCTCAGCCAGCATCCAAGGATGTGCAACACATGTTCTAATCTGTTCTAAGAGAAAAGGGCACAAAAACTGAAGAAATCAGCAACCAGCAGTTGGATTCCTGGCCATCTGCTGTTAAACGGGGCTTGTGAAAGCAGAAATCTGCTCCAGTGGAATATTTCTCCACTAATGTGCCTTATGGCCAGCAAATCAGCCCTGGCTCTCAGCACTGTTCTCTTTGATTTCCCAGGAAACAAGCCAACAGTCCCCCGCTGCACTCAATAGGGAGCACACACACACATACCACTGTCTTTGTGTGTGTGCGCGCCAGAGGAAGAGAACAATCTAATTTACGCAATACACAGCAGATTCTTCTCTCCTACAATTCTGTCACTCCTTAACTTACTCTTTCCTCATTCCTGTAAATGTCGATGGGTCCTTCAGCTGTCCAGACACTGGAACACTGCTCCACTTCTCTGAAGAGCTCACAATAATTGAGCCATAAACCCGGACCGTTTACTGTAGGTCTACCTTTTACATTCAGATTCAAATGAAGCTCTTTGGTGAGAACAAATATAACATTGTATTTATTGTCATTGTATGTAGTGGCCTTTTCTTTTGTTTCAACTGTTTATTTGCTCTGCCTATATGCCCAGGGGCTGAGACAGAACACATACTGTATCTAGCCTAAAGGGAAGATACCATTGTCTAAAACATTCCCATTATTCCTTTTGTCCCGAAAAGAAAGACACTAATGACATGCTCAAAGGGATCAAATGAAATAAAAACAATTGTCACATTTGCCGAATACAACGGGCGTAGACTTAACCGTGAAATGGTTGCTTACGAGCCCTTCCCAATGATATATATATTATAAAAAATAAACATAGTAACACAAGAGGAATAAAATACACAAGAATGGAGCTATATATGGGGAGTACCAGTACCAGATCAATGTGCAGAGGTATGAGGTATTTGAGGTGGATACAGTGCCTTCAGAAAGTATTCAGACCCTTTGATTTTTTTCCACATTTTGCTACGTTACAGCCTTATTCTAAAATGGATTAAATTAATGTTATTCCTCATCAATCTACACACAATATCCCATAATGACAAAGCGAAAACTGGTTTTTAGAAATAAAAAACTGAAACACATTTACATAAGCATTCAGACCCTTTGCTCTGAGACTCGAAATTGAGCTCAGGTGCATCCTGTTTCCATTGATCATCCTTGAGATGTTTCTACAACTTGATTGGTGTCCACCAGTGGTAAATTCAATTGATTGGACATGATTGTTGGAAAGGCACACACCTGTCTATATAAGGTTTCACATTTGACAGTGCATGTCAGAGAAAAAAACAAGACATGAGGTCGAAGGAATTGTCCGTAGAGCTCCGAGACAGGATTGTGTCGAGGCACAGATCTGGGGATGGGTACAAAAAAATGTCTGCAGCATTGAAGGTCCCCAAGAACACAGTGGCCTCCATCATTCTTAAATGGAAGAAGTTTGGAACTACCAAGATTCTTCCTAGAGCTGGCCGCCCGGCCAATCTGAGCAATCGGGGGAGAAGGGCCTTGGTAAGGGAGGTGACCAAGAACCCGATGGTCACTCTGACTGAGCTCCAGAGTTCCTCTGTGGAGATGGGGGAACCTTCCAGAAGGACAACCATCTCTGCAGCACTCCACCAATCAGGCTTTTATGGTAGAGTGGCCAGATGGAAGCCACTCCTCAGTAAAAGGCACATGACAGCCCACTTGGAGTTTGCCAAAAGGCTCCTAAAGACTCTCAGACCATGAGAAACAAGATTCTCTGGTCTGATGAAACCAAGAATGAACTCTTTGGCCTGAATGCCAAGCATCACGTCTGGAGGAAACCTGGCACCATCCCTACGGTGAAGCATGGTGGTGGCAGCATCATGCTGTGGGGATGTTTTTCAGCGGCAGGGACTGGGAGACTAGTCAGGATCGAGGGAAAGATGATTGGAGTAAAGTACAGAGAGATCCTTGATGAAAACCTGCTCCAGAGCGCTCAGGACCTCAGACTGGGGTGAAGGTTTACCTTCCAACAAGACAACGACTCTAAGCACACAGCCAAGACAACGCAGGAGTGGCTTCGGGACAAGTTTCTGAATGTCCTTGAGTGGCCCAGCCAGAGCACGGACTTGAACCTGATCGAACATCTCTGGAGAGAACTGAAAATAGCTGTGCAGCAACGCTTCCCATCCAACCTGACAGAACTTGAGAGGATCTGCAGAGAAGAATGAGAGAAACTCCCCAAATACAGGTGTGCCAAGATTGTAGCGTAATACCAAGAAGAATCAAGGCTGTAATCGCTGCCAAAGGTGCTTCAACAAAGTACTGAGTAAAGGGTCTGAATACTTATGTAAATGTGATATTTCCGTTTTTAATTTTTTATAAATATGCAAAACGTTCTAAAAACCTGTTTTTGCTTTGTCATTATGGGGTATTGTATGTAGATTGTTGAGGGGGAAAAAAACAGAATCAATGTTAAAATAAGGCTGTAATGTAACAAAATGTGAAAAAAGTCAAGGAGTCTGAATAATTTAGAATGCACTGTATGTACATGAAGGCATGGTAAAGTGACTAGGCATCAGGATAGATAATAATAAGAGTAAAATAAAGAACAGCAGAGTAGCAGCAGCATATGATGAGCGTAAAAGTATGTGTGCGCGCATGTGTATGTGTGTGTGTTTGTGTTGTCGGTATGCGTGTGTGTATTGTGTGTGTGTGTGCATATGTAGTGTGTGGGTTTGTGTGTGTGCATCTAGTTTCCAGGAACCAACATGTCAAACAAAGGATCAGTGAAGTAGAACAGTGCCACATGATCACCTGCCGGCCACAGTAGCTTGGAGGCCATGGAGCAGTGGCTTTAAAAAGTGCTTAAAACATCCTCTAAAATCTCCAGTTCTCAAGCTCCAGTCACCATTCAAGACAATAAAAAGAGAGGAGTGGATGAGAGGTTTATGTTACAGGAAGCTGAGAGCAGGGACAGCGGGTGAAAAGGACAGCTGGCATTCTGCTGTGATGTTTGACTCAAACTATAACGTTAGTGCTTCAACCATTTGTGAGTGGATAAGTCAATGTAATTCATAACATGTTCAGACTGCTAGAGCAAGAAGGCGTGATCAAGACCTAAAGCAATGAGGTCACATTGGGTCTTACCTTGATTGTCAAATTCAATGTTGTGGCACTCAGATTGGCCGAGACTCCATGGGCAGTAGTACACGGACCCGCCCTCTGTGATGTTGAGCTGGCTGGTATTGGCCTTGGGAGCGCCAATCACCACACTGATGCTGTAAGACGAGAGAAGAAACATGTAGTCATTCAAATGTCATTATGTCACCTCTACCTAACATGCTACCTCCCCCAGCAACATAACAGTGGAGGTATGGCAACTTAGAGCCGCTGAATGTGTTTGCTAATGCTAGATTGGTATTATTTTTTGTCATGATAGTTGGTTAAGATCTGCTCTTGGTCTGGTATCAAAAATGTATTCCAGACCTTCTATTCAACAGTTTTAGCATGATGCAGAGCCGGTATATACGTTTTACTGCTCACAAAGCTATACCCCTACTTCCAACATTCTGACAGGTTCTAGTACAGTCCTATGTTACATAACATTGTAACCATGTGCAATTGTTGCTGTAATGTGTGCACATTACATTCTCTCCCTCTCTCGCTCACACACACACACACACACACACACACACGAGATCCCTGTGGGGCAAATTCGATTGGAAAACAAGAAAGCAGACGGTCTAAGTGGGGTCACTGTTGTTTGCCTGTCCCTGTAGGCAGACATCTAGCTAACCCATTTAACCCTGCAGTAGACTAAATGCAAATCCAGGACTGGTACAGACATCTAGCTGCTGTAACCCTGTGGTAAACATGGGAACCCCTTCACCAGATCTACCAGCAACAAGTGGTCTTACAGGTGAGTCTGAGGACCAGCTGACCAGGTTAAAAGTCACTAGGACATAATATTCAATGAGGGAGGACACCGAAAACAGCCAGGTAATGAGATTTTAGATGAACCACTGAACCAGGACAGGGCCATGGCTAAACTGACAGACATTGTTTCCAGTAGACAGTCTGGCTGAACCAGCACAGTGTAGCCATTACCTCATTGCGGCTCCAATCGTCATCATCACTGGCATGGTGCTGGACAGTGAAGTGGGCAGAAAACAGAGGAGAAGAGAAGAGGGTAGAGTAGAGTAGAGCCTGAGGGGTCTTCCTAAAACACAGGAAGAGAACACCCTTTCCTGCTCCAGGTCAGTCACCCAATGATGCGTGGTTGTTTACTTTAACGCTAAATTTAAATATCTTCCCTCAGGGGACAACTACTCAACAGTGTCCAGTCCAGACTCAAGAGGATCCACCCCAAATTCAGAAACCAGACTTGGTGAAACCATACTTTCATCCTTGTCAGACTGCACTGCTTTTGTAGAGCCAGCCACGTCACGTTCCCATCTTAGTTAGGACTTATAGATGGGACATTGGCTTTCTAGATAGAAATAAGGTTTGGTATAAGAGACTATTGGAGCATAGAGAAGTAGTTGTCACCAGCAAAGCACCCCCACACCATCACACCTCCTCCTCCATGCTTCACAGTGGGAACCACACATGCGGAGATCATCCGTTCACCTACTCTGCGTCTCACAAAGACACAGCGGTTGGAACCAAAAATCTCAAATTTGGACTCATCAGATCAAAGGACAGATTTCCACCGGTCTAATGTCCATTGCTCGTGTTTCTTGGCCCAAGCAAGCCTCTTCTTATTATTGGTGTCCTTTAGTAGTGGTTTCTTTGCAGCAATTCGACCATGAAGGCCTGATTCACGCTGTCTCCTCTGAACAGTTGATGTTGAGATGTGTCTGTTACTTGAACTCTGTGAAGCATTTATTTGGTCTGCAGTTTCTGAGGCTGGTAACTCTAATACACTTATCCTCTGCAGCAGAGGTAACTCTGGGTCTTCCTTTCCTGTGTCGGTCCTCATGAGAGCCAGTTTCATCATAGCACTTGATGGTTTTTGCGACTGCACTTTTTTGCGACTGCACTCAAAGTTCTTGAAATTTTCCGGATTGACTGACCATATCTTAAAATAATGATGGACCATCGTTTCTCTTTGCTTATTTGAGCTGTTCTTGCCATAATATGGACTTGGTCTTTTACCAAATAGGGCTATTTTCTGTATGTCAACCCTACCTTGTCACAACACAACTGATAGGCTCAAACACATTAAGAAGGAAAGAAATTCCACAAATTAACTTTTAACAAGGCACACCTGTTAATTGAAATGCATTCCAGGTGACTACCTCTTGAAGCTGGTTGAGAGAATGCCAAGAATGTGCAAAGCTGTCATCAAGGCAAAGGGTGGCTACTTTGAAGAATATAAAATATAAAATATATTTTGATTTGTTTAACACTTTTGGTTACTACATGATTCCATATGTGATATTTCATAGTTTTGATGTTTTCACAATTATTCTACAATGTAGAAAATAGTAAAAATAAAGAAAAACCCTGGAATGAGTAGGTGTGTCCAAACGTTTGACTAGTAGGTCGACATAGGCCACTTTCAACAGTGAAGTCACAGGACGCGTTCCTCTGCCCAGGCGATGCGGATGCATGCCAAATCTTACAACGCCTGGATAGGTATCTTACGTATCAGCTAACCACATATGTTACAGCAATTTGTCAGTCGATGACACAGTCGATGACGTGGCACACAGCCATTGGCTGATGCATGCAGCATCTGAGCAGGGGAACGCGACCACAGTCAACAATGAGGTCACTGTGGTTCTAGACTGGCCATTAGATTCAACACCACTCTGATGTAGTCATAGCCTGCGTCGAGGTGACAGCCACAATACTTCAGAAACATGCTGGTAGAGGTTTGGTTTAGGGTCACCTAAACCAAAGCCAAGAAACCCACAGTCCTGCACTGGTGCAATCATAGGAAGGGTACTTTTCATTACGACATCATTTCAACATAGTGTTCATTTTGGCATCATATTTTCATGTTGCAATAAAAAGAACAGCATAAAGTTTAGTACAGAGACTTTGAGCAATCTCCTGCTGGGAATGGGAGTGTGGGTGGAAGAAAAACGTTAGCGGCTTTCCTGCGTCTCCCAAAGCGAGACCCACCTCCCCAAACGGCAGCCCACTAACAATCCCAACCAACCCCAGTCTGATGGTTTCAGCGTTAATTAAACTAGGCTGCTAGTGTCGAGTGCATAAACACAGACTCCTCAGTATAAATGACTGTTGCTGGTGAGGGTTGTCTAATTTGAGGCTTCTGCAATCAGCAATATATAAGCCAGGCAATAAGTCTGCTGGTTGCAACCACTATTTATATGGGTTTTGAAAAATGAAGGGGGAATGTATAATGGTGGAAACTGCTGATCTACCACTGATCTTCCCAGGCTTAACCCAATAGAGTTTATGATGACGTTAGAGAGAGAGGCAGTCAGAAGCCAAATTCCTCTCGCCCCCTTCTCACCCAAACACAGCTTTTTACCCATTCCACACTAATGGTCTTCCTCCCAGCTGCAAAGCTTATGTCACTTGAACACTATTATAATTGCTTTAAGCCAGCCAGGGAAAAAACGGATGCAGCTTTGACTAAATAGCAAGAAATCACAATCACATTTTGTTGGCCTACCAGCGGCGGGACAGGCGGCTGCAGTCACCATCTGCAGAGGTAAACCCTGGGTGCAATGGGAATGGTATGGCACAGACAAATCAAATCAAATTTTATTTGTCACATGCGCTGAATACAACAGGTGTAGACCTTACAGTGAAATGCTTACTTACAAGCCCTTAACCAACAATGCAGTTTTAAGAAAAATAAGTGTTATGTAAAAAATAGATAACTAAAAAATAACAAATAATTAAAGAGCAAATAGTCCGGTAGCCATTTGATTAGCTGTTCAGGAGTCTTATGGCTTGGGGGTAGAAGCTGTTAAGAAGCCTTTTGGACCTAGACTTGGCGCTCCGGTACCGCTTGCCATGCGGTAGCAGAGAGAAGTGTCTATGACTAGGGTGGCCGGAGTCTTTGACAATTTTTAGGGCCTTCCTCTGACACCGCCTGGTATAAAGGTCCAGTATGGCAGGAAGCTTGGCCCCAGTGATGTACTGGGCCGCACGCACTACCCTCTGTAGTGCCTTGCGGTCGGAGGCCGAACAGTTGCCATACCAGGCAGTGATGCAACCAGTCAGGATGCTCTCGATGGTGCAGCTGTATAACTTTTTGAGGATCTGAGGACCCATGCCTAATCTTTTCAGTCTCCTGAGGGGGAGATGCCCAGATGCCCAGGGAACTTTCTACATATGAGGGAAAGACTGGAAAAAGGGCAGCAGGACTGGAGCCTTTAAATTAAGAAGGCAGGAATCACCTGGAATTAAGTCCAGAAAACTGCCAAAAGAAGAGTTGAGGACCACTGCTCCACAAAGAGTTAAAAATAATAAGTAAAGGAGCCTTCAAAAATGTTAGTCGAAACCTCAGCTAGGGATGGGACCGCCTGAACAAAATCCCAACCAAAATGAAGTCACTCAACTAACTCTTCAGAGTTTACTCTTCTAAATAATCTCCTCACATAAGGGGAAACTGAATTAGCGCAAGTGTAGTGACCCAAACTGAGCCCGTGGCGCTCTTGACCTCCCTCCCTACCGATATTGAGATCTGGCCTGGGCCCAAACACAACGAGTAAACAGTTACAGCAGCAACGGTCTCTCTCTCCCGCTTCGAGGAACCGACTGACACACTGCTTCGGCGAACTGACGCCAATACACTAAAGAAAATGCATGACTGTACAAGAGGAGGGTCTTCAGTCAGCAACGCCAACAAACTGTCAAATGGGACCATCACAAGCACACCAAGTATTTTTTTATTTTTAACCTTTATTTAACTAGGCAAGTCAGTTAAGAACAAATTCTTATTTACAATGACGGCCTACCCCGGACGACGCTGGGCCAATTGTGCGCCGTCCTATGGGACTCCCAATCATGGCCGGATTGTGATACAGCCTGGAATCAAACCAGGGTCTGTAGTGGCGCCTCTAGCACTGAGATGCAGTGCCTTAGACCGCTACGCCACTTGGGAGCTCGTATGGCAGTATGGCATTGTCACATTATTACTGGACTGAATTACTGGAGCTATTTCAGACTCACTATTCCACTGTGGAGGGGAATGCCAGTTGAATGGCCCTGTGTAGCTCAGTTGGTAGAGTATGGCGCTTGCAACGCCAGGGTTGTGGGTTTGATTCCCACGGGGGCCCAGTATGAAAAAATAAAATGTATGCACTCACTAACTGTAAGTCGCTCTGGATAAGAGCGTCTGCTAAATTACTAAAATGTAAATGAATAGTACTGTAATGTAACAACTTATTTTGGACCACATGGAGCCATGACACACAGCCTTCAGTCAGACACACGGCCTTCAGTCAGTACACGGCCTTCAGTCAGTACACGGCCTTCAGTCAGTACACGGCCTTCAGTCAGACACACGGCCTTCAGTCAGACACACGGCCTTCAGTCAGACACACGGCCTTCAGTCAGTACACGGCCTACGGTTTGATCAGAGCCATCGCCAAACAGGGAAACGGACTGTCTGACTCCCAACTACTATTCTGTCTGGTCATCCACTCAGCACTACACACAGGCACGTGTGCGCACACAAACACAGCATGTGTGTAGTGCTGCTGTCCAGGACCTCCTTACTCCTATGGGACAGGCAGAGGGATGATGAGAGTACCAGGGCCTGCTGGGACAGCTAGTGCTGAATGAGAAAGAGCACTGTACAGAACGCTCACTCATACAACCAGTAAACTGCTACAGTTGGCTGTATCCAATGACTGTAAATGAGGTAGGAACCTGCACTGGAAAGTATTATTTTGAGAGTTATGAAAGAGTTCCAACCTCATTAGGGTTTCTTAACAATTTACCAAAACTACCCAGCATCCAGGTTAAAACATTGTTTGTCACACTCCCATCTTGAGTACTGTACTTCAAAAGCAGCAGTTAGAACAAAAACTATACACCCACCAATGTTGATCTGATAAACATTATCCCATCTCCAGAACCGGATCTTAATGTCACCGCAAAAAAATGTCCTCCCAAAGGACATTAGTCCTGTGCAGTGGAGCAGGAGGCCTGCAAATCAACAGAGCTGGCCCAGGTGCAGAGAGCCACACTAACTACTGCTGTTTCGTATTAGGGTCGTTGCACCTCAA